GGGGGGGGGGGGGGGGGGGGGGGGGGGGGGGGGGGCGTTGGAACCCAATTTTCAGTTGAAAATAGGTTCCATTGAAAATAGGTTCCGTTGAAAATAGGTTCCTTTAGGTGTCACCTTTCAGCAATGAAAACTGACCATGGAAAAATGACCCCTATTTGAATCCTTGTACTTTCATTTCATAACCCAAAGAGTGTGTTACATGTATGACGAGGACGCGGGGCAAAACTTCCCAAAAGTTGCGGGAAATGCAAGATATTCTTCACCTAGCCACAAAATGTACAGTGCATAATGATACGACGAACTGATGATCTGACCAAAATGAGGAGTCGCATTATAAAAGTGTTTAGTTGAAAGTGACGGTGTTGTTAACCTAACGTATGGCTTTCAAATGGCTCCATAAATGAGAACGATCGATTCGGAACCCCTTTGGGTCGATGTGTTTTTGCGAAGAGGATTTTCGAACAATATTTTGCTTCAGTCGGTCGGCAAAACTTTTTTTCTGAACTTGAAGAAACGTTCTTCACATGTCATTGAAAATAGGCCATTGAAGTTAAAAAATACTAAGTGTGTTTCATATTTTATAATTACGTAATATATCAGCTATCTAATGCCTTCCCATGATACTGTCAAAACCACTTGCCCCTCGGTACCGGTAATGGACAGTGTATTATAGTATTATACAAGACATGGTCAATTAACAGCATTTCTGGTTTTGACTTTACCATGGTAAGGCATCAACTATCTGTATAATGCGTGCTATTATAGCAATGTTGATGTCTTGTGTAATCTAATGATTGGTCATTTACCAGCATCACGGAGATCAGAGATTTCAATTTTACAGTTGGAAAGCCTGAAATATGTATAGATAAAAACTATCTGATGGATTACTGTGCAAAATATTTGACAGGTGATGGTCGTTTACATTGCATAAGGACAAAACTTCCTATTCAATGTTTAACATGGACACTCTGACAATAAAAGATTCATGTTTGATCTTAATAATTATTCTATTTTCATATTCAACATTGATAGTGAATTCAAAAACGTAACGTTACAAATGGACCCCGGAAGATGTCCATGTTAAATCATTGTAATTGCTCCATACAAAACGTTGAAAATGGACTCCAGATAGCATGAAACTTTTCCATGATAATTTTCAGATATGCCCGGTTCCGTATTCAACGTTGAAGCGGATCCCTGATCATAAATTTGCAGAATTGCCCTGATTTAATACGTAATCCTGGTTATCATATCACCAAAGAGGGGTTAATGTTCTGACGTAGAGCAAGGTAATCCTTCAGGTATGTATTTCATTCCATAATGCAGTTCAGACAAGCTTATTCTGTCTTTTCGTATTGCAGAGTTATTGTTCTTGTGAGCAGGTATTGATTGTTACGTCATTGGTTTGTGTGAGAAAATTACGTCGTTTTATCAAAACTTGATGACGTTACTCTCACAAACAGATGACGTAACAATCAATCCCTGCTCACAAGAGAAGATAACTCTGCAATACACAAAGACGGAATAGTGTTGATTTGCGTTTTACACCATACCTTTCTAATGAGCATGTATTTGATTCATGCTACTGGTATTGAGTGTCCTGACTATTGTACATATGAAAGGTGAACAACACGTCTGAGAAGTTTCATCATTCATTTGAAATAAACACGTTTATAATTACATCCGATCCCAGGGCGAGGCTCAGTATTAGACTTATCTAGATACAAATAGATTAGAGGTGGTATAGTCTGTTCCAGAGGACTAGTATCATATCAGTGGATACGACCTGCCCCGACATTTGAAAACTGTATGACAATCAGTGTGACTTTGTTGATTTCTCTTCGGGTTTTTGTGGCAAGTGTTTCCGAATAGGGTTTGTTCAGATTTAAGAATAAAATTATAATTCTGATAGAATAATATATCGCTCGTATTTTTCCCAATCCACTACGTCCAGTAAATAGATGATATTCCTGCAACGACCAATGCGATTGTTAACGGTTTCATAGTCAACGAAGTGCTTTGGTTTCAGTGGAAGAAATCAGCGTTACAAGGGCGTTTCCAACCAATTGTGAAATTTTACAGAAAATCACGTTTTCTGTAAAATAGTTAAAATAATATTCATTTGTTTTACTCACATAAAGGTTAATGTCTGTGGGTTATGCAATGACTTGTTACATGTTGCTGAGTCTGTTTGTTTGTTTTTTGTTTGTATCTTTTCATAACTTATGTATCACAGAAATTATCAATTTGGTGCACTTGTCAAATGTTATATTCATGTAAGCAGGCATGCTTCCTACCTTTGAGACACAGGTATAACCTTCTAACCTTAATTACAAAGTTAACTTGTACTTGTAGACAGAAGTAACGTGTCATGTTTTGAACTAGACACAGACGTATGAACGTAACGATGGAGACCGTTTTGTCTTTGAAAGCTATAAAATTACCTATCGATATATGAGAAATTACCGTTTTGTTACGCCAACATAGAGTTTTGATTATCAGGACAGAATTCTATATTGATCAAACAACAACATGCGTAATGCGTTTTCTTTGAAATCAAATGGTAATTAATCTGCCTCGGTTTTAGATCAAATCACAAACAATTTTAATATATTTCTCACCAGGGTGGGAAACCGCGCTAAAATTGCAACGTTAGCAACACCAAGTGAAACCAAGTTCGATAATGCATATTGGCTGTTGTGGGTAGGTCAGGTTTGGATGATTGTGATGCACATTTCTCCCAGATATTGATTCACAGATTTCTCGGTTTTATATCCTGTTGTATAATTCACAGGCTATATACACCGGTTACACTAAACGATAGTATAACCAGCATACAGGATCATATATGAAAATATAAAAGAAACTGTTTGTAACCTTCCGGAGCCACTGGTTACATCTATGATTTAAGGGTTTAATGTTTAGATGGCATTGCGTCCTTTGTTCTTTCAATGGCCTGGATCATTTTGAATAGTGTTGCCTCATTAATTGGTAGTTTTGTATCCTTTTTTTATAATAATAAAACGTAAACTTTATTTGTTTTACAACAATTGTGAAATAAGTTATTTCAACTTATATTAAACACTCTTGTTGATCCGTATATTTACGCGCGGGGGTCTTTATGTGGGAGGACATCAAATATGTAGACGCTTCGACATGGAGTTGTGTACTAACGATTTGACTGTAAACTCGCCTACAATTTCAGCTTTTGTTTCTTCTCTACGGAAAACCTTGCAACTGAGTATCCAAATCCTATAACATCATTGCGTTGGTTTGGAAGGATTTTCCTAAAAGTAGGTACACTTAATGTGGACAGGAAGCTGCGCAAGGCGAGTTATATTTGATAGGCGGAACCCTCTTGTGTCGAATCATTAACTTTAAGAGGTTTTTACGGAGAGAAATCAGAAAGGTTCTTGTGTCTTTAAAGTGGTGGCAGTATCTACCTCTTCTTCTTACAACTATTTACACTTACCTATCGCATGTGAAAAGAGTTTTTGTGAACAAGTGTCCTATGGCAGAGCACTTACTTCCTCAAGTATGCTGCATGTTTCTATGGCATATCTATAAGCTGTAGGAAATTGAGATACAACTCTTTTAAACAATACTTAAAGGCAAATGGTCATATTCATGAAATGGCTTGATTCTACGATCCGTTGAATGATGATTAACTTTTAAAGCTGGAGTTGTATGGTTAATTATAGGACGTTGTTTCTCCGTAATTGTTATTCGCTTTCATGGAGTTGGCACTGCAATTTTTGCTCTGGTGTGTATGTCCATGTCTACTGTGAAAACGCGACAGGACAAGGTGTTTTCCACACGCCACGTGACGTACAACTGGTCTAGCCTGTCCGTCAGGCTAACTGATCAGAAAATAAAAATATATATTTCCGCAAAAAGATCGTGAAATTTCTCCTTCCTTGTCAGACATCGAACCAAGTATCCGTATTAGGTCCTTCGCCGGCGTTTCAGCTCTTTCCAAGCGCTGGCCCTTAGCCGATCCCTTAGGCCTTCCTTAACATCCCTGCTGTGGCTTGATTGTCCTTTACAATAGGACTTTTCGCTTCTGTTCTCTTGTCTTGTACGTGTTTTGAAAGTGCTCACCATTCCTACTTTAATAGCTATTTATTTTGTAAGGGGTGGGGGTGCTACATGACTGGCAAAGTCGGCGGTACTAGCTATGTGAACTCAGATTTAGATACAAGACTCTAAACTATGCAAAATGTGTGGCGCATTAGTCACAAATGCTTTTCACAGTGCCACTTTCAATGTGGTGGGTTTTTTTAATGAAATGAATTTAACTTCAGGAGATGTGAGTGTAGGCTACCTACGATACTATCAGACATGCAAACCTATAAGTGTTACATGCATGTTATGTATGGTAATGTAATTTGCATATACTGTAACAGAAAAATACAAATAAAAAACATCATATTTTATAAAAGTCGTATTTCCTGTATCGATACATATTGGAATATAATCTACTTGAAACAAAGAGTGTCCATACCTTCGAAGTCTTCTAATTCAAAACTTTCTTCTGACGGCGATTTTGGAAGAGAATTCCTCAGACTCGTGTCGGAGCTTGTAAATGTGTGTTCGTATTGAAGGGGCGTTACTTTATTCACTTTTTTGGCAAAGTGCTGAAATATCAAAATAGTGAAGCATACATGAATTACTTTATAGATAATATGTTTATGTTTACTGCCACAAGGTGCTTGATGAGTATCAGTATAAAAAGTAAACAGGAACCAGAAGCAATTGTCGCGACATATACATTGTCTATTTCAACATTTTCAACTGATTCTATCTTATAAAAGGCAAGTGATAATACATATAATCGTTACTATGATATGAATAACCGTTGTAATGGTATAAACATTTCTTTATTCATTGTTATATGTGACCGTTGCTATGATAGGCATGTCAGAAACTATGCTATGTATGTCCGATACTATGATATGTATGTCCAAACTATGATATAGATATCAGCAACTATGATATGCACGTCCGTTGCTATGATACGTATGACCGTTACTATGATATGTGTAACCGTAACTATGATACGTATGACCGTTCCTATGATACGTTTGTCCGTCACCATGATGTGTATGTCCGATACTTTGATATGAATGTCCGATACTATTAAGTATATGCCCGTTTTCACGATGTACATGCACAATACTATGATATGTTTGTCCAATACTTTGACATGTATGTCCGATACTATGATATGTATGTCCGTTGCTGTATGTATGTCCGTTACTATGATACGTGTGTCCGTCACTATGGTGTGTATGTCCGATACTATGGTATGTATGTCCAATACTTTGACATGTATGTCTGATGCTATGATATGTATGTCCGTTGCTGTATGTATGTCCGTTACTATGATACGTATGTCCGTTACTATGATATGTATATCTGTGACTATGATATGTATGTCCGCTACTATAATACGTATGTCCGTTACTATGATATGTATGTCCGTTGCTGCATGTATGTCCGTTACCATGATACGAATGTCCGTAACTTTGATATACATAACTGTAACTGTAACTGTCGTCATGATATTACGTTTGTATATTCATTATTATGTGTCGCATTTGCTATAATAAGATGACCGTTGCTATGAAACCATGCTGATATTATCTCATTAATGTAATTATTGCGTTGCAATTATAGGCATTACATACAAAATGTACCTTGTCAAATAGATCCGGCATGAACCAGAAGATTAATAAGAACTAACTTAATTAACACTTACCATATTGACGGATTTCATAGAGCAAATACATGGACCATTGTTACAAAATTATATTGACGATTCATTGCTAATGGTCATGTAATTCTGACCGTCAGTGATCGGATCAATCTGACCGCGTCATTCACGTCGCCAAACAAGTAACTAAGCAACGATGGCGTGACGAAAAATCACGTGGTCAAATATGAAAGGTTCGAGCTGAATCAAACAATCCATTCGGAATTGAATTTGTCAGGATTTTTTTTTTCGGATCTACTTCTAAATATAAATACTACAGACATTGTACGAAATTTGACAGACAGTGACAGACTTTTTTATTCACACTGCAACAAAGTTTTACTAAAAAGATTACATCTACATTAAATGTTTCAATGTTAAGTGACATGGTTGATATGAACACTTTGATGTTGAGTTACATTAAAGATATTAACACTTTGATGTTGAGTGACATTAAAGATATTAACACTTTGATGTTGAGTGACATTTAAGATATTAACACTTTGATGTTGAGTGACATTAAAAATATTACACTTTAGTGGTGAGTTACATTAAAGATATAACACTTTGATGTTGAGTGACATTAAAAATATTACACTTTAGTGGTGAGTTACATTAAAGATATAACACTTTGATGTTGAGTTACATTAAAGATATAACACTTTGATGTTGAGTGACATTAAAAATATTACACTTTAGTGGTGAGTTACATTAAAGATATAACACTTTGATGTTGAGTTACATTAAAGATATAACACTTTGATGTTGAGTGACATTAAAAATATTACACTTTGATGTTGAGGGACATTAAAAATATTACACTTTGATGTTGAGTGACATTAAAAATATTACACTTTAGTGGTGAGTTACATTAAAAATATTACACTTTAGTGGTGAGTTACATTAAAGATATTAACACTTTGATGTTGAGTTACATTAAAGATATTAACACTTAAATGTTTAATTGCATGTTAGATAGTTTGTAGCATGTAACAGAACGAGGCAGTGAAAAGGAAAAACTTGAAATATATACAAGATGGTTTTCTCTTACCTCCAAAATCGCGATAAGTTCTTAAATACAATTGTTACTATTTATACCACTTACAACGTGTGTGTCTTCCCTTCGGATCCTCTTGGAGTTTTTCCTGTGATTTATTGGGTTCCATTGCCGTTCCTTGCGTCGGCAGCAAAGACATTTCCGAAACTATAGACATAACAAAGAGATAAAAACATGGCATTAACGAAGTAAAAATCTGTAACACACACAAGCTCAGCAATCAATAATTCATAAAACGCATAGCTAGTTTCATCACCACAAAGATAATGGTATCGGGTTGTACGTTTTGTGTAGTAGTCAGACAAAGCTATCTATCACCATTCTTTCGAAATTACTGTCAACTCATGTTATATGCATGACATTGACCTCGATGCATGATGCGACGGGGGTCAGACATTGTCTGTGTTCCAAGTTATGGAAGAATCATCAAGCTGGCTTACTAAGAATTATCCATCAGTGTGTATCACCCCTGTAGGTAGGGATTCGGGAAAAGAATACATCTGCTGTTACCCACTGCATTATTGAAGGAGGCGAAAGATGTGGGAACCACCAGCATAATTGAGGATTTGCTTTGGTGTCCTCTATTTGGGGACACAAAAGCGACAAAATAAATCTGCTGCATCCATTGCAAATTTTGGGATCTTTATAATTCTTTCTTCTTCTTACTACCTTTTATTTCCCAACGCCTTGCTTGGCAACACCTCATCTTTTGGCCTTAATGTTGAGTGTTCGCCCAGGTGAGGAAGGCAATGGGTTCTGTCCCAAGGCCGGGACATACCAAAGTCCTTAAAAATGGTAGTTGTTATTCCCTGCTCATAACGTTCAGTATATAGGGGAATGGCAACAACTGGTTCACCCGTTGTCAGTATAATGTGACCGGGCAGAATGTTGTGCTGGGTGGACTTCGGCATGGTATTTCAGTGAGATAGCACTATAAAGTCGGCATCAGATCCGCGCTATCACAAGGAAGAAATCGCACCAACATACCCTGTCTCCTGTATACACACACTCAAGCACGCATACGCTACACAAATGGAGACACGTCCTTAAATGACCTTAGCTGTTAATAGGACGTTAAACAAAATTAAACCAAACCAAACCATCAGTGTGTATACAGCGATTTGCTATTGTAAATAAGAATACGTCAGACACAAAAAAAAACTAGCAAAGTTTCTGTACTAAAATCATGAAATAATGTTTACAAATTTCCCTTGCAAATTGTTGAATATGTGTAAAAAGGAAAAAAGGAAAAGGAAACCTGTATCACAGGTTAAGGACGTTATTGGAGTTCAAAGACAGCACATCACATGTATAATTCCCGTGGTAGCGTTTTCTTATCAAATCCAGGACAACGTGATAGTCGACAGCGGATTCAGACACTAGAAGTATTTATTTGATTACGGTAGAGACTAAATATTATCTCTGGTATAGACAAATCATGGATATGTCATTTTTTAGTCAACAGGCGAATCAAGCTTAATCCTATTTCATGCATAAGCAAATATTGGCTAAATTATTTATTGGTAAAGATTTGCTTAAATCTTAAACCTATCTCAGGCATCAATGAAATATGGCTACGTCATTCAATTGTCAACAGAGTGCGGGTATTTACATATCCTTGGCTTTGTCATTTATTTGTCAATAGGCCACATCGAGCTTAATGTTGTTTCTGATATCAACGAATCTTTGCTCCATCATGTATTTTTCTAAATTATAAAGAGGTTTCATGCATTTTTCCTTTTTGTTTCAAAAGCAGTTTTGAACAAAGCATTTCCAATTATTTGGCCTCTAGCATCACCGATGAGCCACGGAAGGACAAAACAGCTGTTTGATGTTGTTTAATGAATTTTTGGCATATTGTAGTAATTATCTAATTATATAGGTGCACTCATATATGTGTGTCTAATGTTATCCCCATTTATCGATAGGGCACATATATCAAAAAACAAGTTAGTGCAATAACGTATTCTGGTCCAGAATAAACTTTGTCAATGGTTTTACATTCGTATAAACTGGGAGACTTGCACGTAACTAGAGTAGGTAAATTGAAGTATATTTGGACTTTATAGTGTACTTTTAGGGCAGTATCTTTTCCCTATATTTTGCATCAATTAAAAAACCAGGAATGAAAAAACTGCTTGAAATAGGACAGTTTATTTGGTAGGGTCTTCTTCGATTATTGTCCTATTTACTACCAAAGTCATTTAAAAACGTAAAAATGTAAAATGAAAAATTTAAAATTTAAAAACATTTTTTAAATGTGTGTAATGCATGCACGTGTGCTCAATGCGGTATGTTGGTGTATTTTCTCCTTGTGAAAGAGCTGATCTGATGGAGAATTTAGAGTGCTACTTAAATATCATTTTGAAGGCAACCATCAACGTATTCAACCCGGTAACATTATCCTGACAACGAGTTAATCGGTTGTTGTGGTTACTTTAAATGCTGGATGTTAAGCAAAGAGTAAAAACAACATTATGAATGACTTTTGTGTGTCGCAGGCTGGGGACAGAAGCCATCGCCTCCCATACATAAGCTAACCTTTACCACTAAATCCAGCGTGAGGTATTGTCAAATAAGGTGCAAGGAAACAAAAGGTAGTTAAAAGTAGAGAGAAATTCAATAATTCCAAATATTGCATTGAGTGCAAAATATTTATTTCGGACGGATTTGTGTCTCCAAGTAAATAAAATGTAAGCATATCCCAAATACTAAAAGAGATTTCCACATTGTATTCCTCTTGCAACATGCAGTGTGTAACAGCAGGTATGTTCCTTTCTAAATCCCCAATATGCAGGGGTGGGGTACAGCTTGTCCCCACTGGAAAACTGATGTATCGGTAGAAAGAGCAAAACGTTATATAACTCGCCGTTGCAAATATTATTAAGCTTAAAACCAGAGTGCAATAGGGGAAATCGTCTTCCAAACCTAGTGCTTATGCTATCATGCATTCGAACATACTTTATTGAGCAGCAATTAAAAGGATCGGGCATACGAGCGTAACATTAACAATTTCCGATATAGCTGCTTCCTGGATTGGAAGGAAACATACATAAAAGGGATAAGGATTAAGCTTATCCATACCCTGTTTTAAGAATCATGGGATAAAAGCGTCCTGTTGACAGATGGAGCGCACAGCAAGGATTTCATTCCAGAAAATCTTGAAGTCGTTATGCTATGCTATTCTTTTTCGATCTGTTATGCATTCATACTTATAAGTGGGAGTTGAGAAAGATATTGGCTGGTTGCAAAGGCCCTATAACCACGGATAATAATGTGTGAACCGCTTTGAGACGACCTACGAACAAGGTTGTGATAAAGCGGTATATAAGAACCTAGCATTAATATTATTATTATTAAAACATGCCTTAAAAGTAGCATACACGAGTTCTTTAATTTGAAGGCAAACATAAAATCACGTTAACAGATGGTGCATATATTGCAGGTTTTCCTTAACTTCATTTATTTCTTTGTATGTTTATTGACGGTATGTAATAGGTTGTCATTATGTGTTGTGTGATGCTGTGATACATGTATGTTTATTGACGGTATGTAATATGTTGTCATTATGTGTTGTGTGATGCTGTGATACATGTATGTTTTGTCCTTTATATGTTGTGTGGACGCCATGGTACATGTTTGCATAGTTTATGTCACAATATTGTCGAACTACCAGTAACTTCGATTACGCATTCTTAATTTTGTCTATTACAATAGTTTCCATTTTCGTTTTGTTGTGAAAAAGTTATCTTCTCCGACTAAGAGAATAAATCTCTGTTCCGAAGAACGATAACAAGTTAGCAGGTAGCTGGGAAACTAATTCTTTAAGGGATAATAAGTGGTAATAAAATATGACGCAGCCCTTTAACAAATAGTATCTGTCATTATTCTTAAGAGAAATAATGTTTTTCTCTTAGTAAAATTGAGAAAAAAATATGTATATGTTTGTGAAATATCGCATCGGCAAATGTTTTACCATAGAGGCAATTACATGTACAATAACCAAACACAGATTTACAAAAAGCGTATGATATTTTTATTGTTTAAATTGAAGAGGAAAAAGTGATATAACAAAAAGGAACAATAACAACGGAAACAGTGCTACAGTTTAAAATGAAAAAAATCCACAATATAACAGCACTTCCAAGAGACGGAAGATTCTATCGAATTCTCTAACTAAATGCTATACTCACAACAGCCAGGATCTCTGTATGTATCCATCTGTCCATTGTCCAGATTTTGGTCAGTTACATCGCCTGGTCAGACAGATCACCTCACCTGACTGTATATAACAAACACAGATATCGTCCAGCGTCAATTTTGCACCTTTGCCAAAAGACCCACATGTAGTCGGCAGTCTCACACGCCTAGCCATGGCGGACATCTTCAGCCCACCAGCCTACTTCCATTGTCATGTATCTATGTCAGACAAAATCGGGTCAGCTTAAAATCGGTATAGCGTCACTTTGGAAGTTAACATATACTGTGTCATGCACTTTGCTATTTAATACTGTTCGTTGTCCACATTGTTGTGCCCAGAACAGAATTGTCCGTGCTCGCGTTACAACTTTACGAATATAATGAAGAAATTGAATGTATATTTCCTGTATTGTTAAGCTAACTTTGGCCGTATTAACGATGACATATACACCTCGTACCTGGCTAGGTGTAGGCTCTGCCACTGTATTATCGCCGAGGACCACCTCACGTTGTCCTCCTAAGGAGAATGAACACTACAATAGAATCGGTGGGAATTTCCATAGACAATTGCGTCGCCCTGCCGTAAATTCTTCATAAAATGAATTCCAAAATCATAAAACAGCCATCAAAGGTCAACAAAGGTATTGAAAGCACAATAAGATATATACTGAACTTGTAGACTGCTTTCTGTGCGTGTCTAGATGTACAGCCAGTTTTATGTCTGTCCTGGTTACAGTTATCTTAAACTCAGCGAAATGTCATTCATTTTTACAAAAACAAATATTGCACTTAACGTTGATGTAAATAGAAGCTAAATGTTTGTACCGGACTCCGCTGTCCGGGATTATTAATACGTCAATATGTATGATATAATATCGCTTTGTGCCCAGTCCATTTGCTAAAGATAGCGTTAAAGTGGGGGGCTTCAGCCTGTTCGATTGATTATCTGCAGTGAAACATTGACGAATCAGCACGTCCCAATTAATACCAAAGGTATAAATAAACAACAGAGAATCTGTCGGTAGATAAGCGACATTTGTAACAGTCGATTGTCTGTAAATAAAATGTGCCATCCCATGAACGTATCCTTTAAGAGGGTGCATTTTTAATTGGTTGGAAATTTTCCATAACTTTTATGTTCTGTTTTTGTGGAGTTGTATTTGTGTCCGCTTTATTTCTTGTACAACCAATACTCTGATCCTCCTCAAATGTAGTACACAGCTAAGCTTGAAACATCGCCGGGGTACAACTGTAATGACTTTCTGCTGCTAGAAAAGAAAACAAGATAAATTCTAACCATAATTACGAAAAATAGCGAAAGATCCCCGAATTGATTAGGAACACAAGTAAAGGTTACTGGAATGGATTTTCTGCTGATTTCGTTTTGTATTGAAACGATTTTTCTTTATCAAATACCATTTCTCTAATTTGTTAAAGAACTGACGCCGTCTATTCCATTTCAAGTTAACCTTATTTTCATCACACAAACAAGAACATTTTACGTAAAGTATTTAACTTTCAAGGTTGAACCCAGCCCTTTAGAATTGATACGGTGACAGTGTGCGCCCTGTTGATAGAGATAGTGTGCATATTAACACTCGGTGATCGGCATTGTGATTTTTTTCATTACAGGGGTTCGTGCTTTTATTTGCCGCATTTATCGATTACTTTTGCCGACCGAACCAGATCAGGGTTTTTAGAGCGCTTTAATTTGGTTCCCCGCGTTATTATGTGTAGTGATAGTAAAAACTGGTCATAAAAAGTACAATTATTGTAGTCTAAGCTTCTATAAGAAAATTCACATTTAAGTTATAAATTTGTTTCCTTGCGCTATTGTATATAGAGATAGTAAAACCTGACAATAAAGAATACGACTATAAAACCCTATGCTTCTACAGGAAAATTTATATCTTGAGCTATAAATGTTAAAATAAAAATAGAAATAATATACCAGATCTTCAATACACTAGGACAAAAATCGAATCGGATGTCGAAAATGAAATATTTAGGATAAAGAATTTGGTTGGGTTTGGCTATATTTTGTTTAATGTCCTGCATATACATGTTGTAGTAACATCTAAGGTCTTGTAAGGATGTGCTTCCTTGTGTGTATGCGTGCTTGAGGCAGGGAATTTTGACGTACTTCACTGCTCTTCAAAGCTCTGATCTGAGGTTGAATTTAGAGTGATTTACTCAACTTAACTTAAGTCACTCCCGGCCTCCACGCTTTTTCTCCAACCAATCTGTCTTGTGCTGCTGTTTTTTGCGGTGTTCCAGGTACTCCATCATATATGGCTGTGATCTTATTCAACCGCTCTTCGCCAGGTTGTTTTTGGTCTCCCTCTTGCTCTTTTCCCTTCCGGTGCCAAGTTATTTACTCCTTCTCTCCTCAAGATGTGACCAATCCAGTTTATCCTTCCTCTTCTTATTTCACAGCTGATGTCATTTATGTTGGCTAGCCCTTTAATTTCTGCATTTTGTGTTCTTTGCTGCCTTCTTACTCTCAATAGCCTTCTGAGACACTGGTATTGGAAAGTGTTCAGTTTCTTTTCTTCTGCTTTTATAATTTTCCATATCTCACAGCCAAACAGTAATGCAGGTTTGACAAGCGAACTGAACAGATGTATCTTTGTCTTTCTACCAATAGCTTGTACTCCCCAGATATTTCGGAGTCGGTGGAATGCTGCTCTTGCCTTCTGTAGCATGATATCACTACTAACTCCTCCTTCTCTGTCCATTACAGCACCAAGATTTACAAATGCCAACATCTTCTATTATCTCGTTGTTTAATAGGATATTTTAATTCTTTCTTGCTTGTTCGCTCATGAGCGTCTTGCATTTTTTAGCAGAAAGCTTTAGTCTAATTCTTGCTGCTTCAGATGTTAGTCTTTCTGTCTTTTCACTTAGATTACTCAGCTTAGATGACAAAAGAGCAATGTCGTCGGCAAAGTCAATGTCTTCCAGAAAGGTGTTTAATTTTCACCGTATGCCTCTCACTTTGTCTGCTGTTGTTCTCTTCATGATCAAGTCGATGGCCAAAAGGAACAAAAATCCTGACATAACACAAACTTATTTAACCCGGATCTTATGCCAAGCCAATACCAAGTTTGAATGAATTTAGAGTACTACCTCGCTGAAATATCATTCCAAAGGCACTTAGCCAAGCATTCAAAATGGTCACATTATACTGACCATAGATAAACCAACTATTGCAATTATCCTATTTGCTGAACGTTAAGCAGGAAAATAACAACTGCATGTACTATTTTAGGACTATAATATGTCCTGGCCTGGGGACAGAATCAAATGCCTTCACACTTTGGCAAACATTTAACACTAAGGAAAAAAGTGAGGTATAGCCAAGTAATGCGTTAGTAAATAAAAAGTTTGTTAGGAAGTAGAGAGAGAAAAAATGAATATTCTCAACATTGCGATGGGAGCAGCAGATTGATTTTGTTTGCTCATGTATTCAATTCTGCAGGGGGTTCCCACACTAGTGGCTTCTTATAAAATGCAGAAGGGAACAGCAAGTGAATTATTTTCTCAATCCCTGTCCTGCATCGGCGTCCAAAAGTGGAAAGATAACAAAAGAAACAGAGTAGACAACAAAGCAACAACAACAACAAAACAGAGAAAACAACAAAACAAAAAACAAGAATTGAGGGGAAACCGAAACCAAAGGAAAGAAAAAACAACGGGAACCGAGAGGACACCAAAGCCATAGGAAAAGACATCAATGAGAGCCGAGGTGACGCCAAGACGGAAGGAAAGCCAGCAACAGGAACGAAGGGGACATCATGCGACGCCAAGCCGGAAGGAAATCCAGCAACAGGAACGAAGGGGACATCCTGCGACGCAAGACGGAAGGAAAGCCAGCAACAGGAACGGAGGGGACATACACGTTAAGACAGAGGCAAACCAAAGCCAAGTATGTGCGTTCCTAAAAATGAGAAAATGCTTACAGTTTAAAGCATGAGAAAACAGAAGGTAAGGAACAGTTCAACTAAGAACATGTATATATTATTACCTCATTAGGTTTCTCTCCCACTGACCACAGTCATTCACATATCCCGCCAGATAAGTATTTGTCTGTCTTACTTTGGGTGGATCACCAGTACGAAGAAACGCGTGCTGAACTGGAAGTTATACATGGGTATATATAGGAAAGGGAAGTATAATTATGTTTAATACTAAATCAATTTAAGCAAATAAGTAAATTTCCTCGTGTAAATCATTTTAATACTAATGCTAATATTTAACAGACCACCAGGTACCATTCATCGTTGAATTATCATATAGCGCAAGTGTGTGTCATTTTTTTTATCAATTTGGATTTAAAGAAAAGGGATGATTCCTTATCTTTGGGGTATGAACGAGAAATGTCTCTCCGGAGCAGCCTCGGGTTTGGCAGTAAAGAATAAAATCTGTGGGAGTGTCTTTCTCTACGCTTATCTCATTACCAAGGCACGGAAATATTCTAGTCGTCTGGTATTGCCAGTATGCCTTCTAAAACGTAAGTAAATGTCAGTACTGGTGTTGTATGTTTTCAATTATGTTCACCAAATGCACATTTTATCAAAGTACTCGATGTGAGGCCATGACTTTACTTGGATTTGACATAGATTTACATGACAGGTGTTGTCGATGAAAGAGAAGACGGTTACCCTTTAGGAACACCTGGTCTTCATCGCCTTGTACTTTTTCATGGGTCTTCAAGTACATCTTTCTTTTGTGCATATATTGTCTAGATTAAGCGATTTTGAGCTAGTATTTTTTAGTAGGTGAGTAGGTTTTGCCTTTCGGCATTCTGTTTTCATTTCTCTGAAAAGTTGCGTTTTACACAAGATTTGTTAAATGATTGCAGAATAGAAGAAAACATATGAAATTAATTCAGAATCATATTACATTCATTAGGTTACAGCTAATTCAAATACAGTTAATAAATTAGTTTAATGTTAGTGTATGTCAGCTATTTCTTGCGTCAAGTACATACAGTCTACGCTGCAAGTAAAATGCATCTAATTATATTATATAATTTCAATTTGGACGAACTCCATGATTTGTTAAAGGCTATTTAGATATTGTTAAAAACCGATAGAGTCGAAGAACTGTATCCTTTATGCTTGCCATATGGACATTATGGAAAAGAAGGAAAATAGGTTGATAAATGCTAATGATATAGTATATACAAAATGTTTAGAGAACGTTTAAGACCACCCAAAAGACGCATGCATTGTTCCCCCCAATTCTGTATTAATCCATTGCGTTTTTAATCTATACTTGTATTATTTATTAAATGTTTGTGTTTCCTATATATAAAGCTTAGTCAAAAAGATTAAAACGGTTGACATAGTGTTTTATAACGAACATCTAGGAAGGTCACAAACCTATTTCTCAGCTCCTGAATGTAAGTATGTTGTAGGGCTTATCTATACAATAACAAAACAAACCCCATTAGCAATGTGCGTTATTTGAACCACTTACCTCCGAATCCCTAGGTACGCAAATCCACCACATTTTGTTTTATCACATAATTGGCCTGTTATCCAGTGAATTCGCCCGTGTAATATTTGTACATCTGTCACTAATGTAATATACCCTGGAGCGTTTTTCATTAGCTGTGCCAGTCAGAAATCGATTGTGACGTCATAATATGGACAATGACGTGACGTCATCAATTGTGAATGGCGCAACAAAATGTCTGTCTCCGTTTGATTAAGCCCTCTACATTTTGGCTTTAAAACCTGTCAAAATGTAAGTTTTCTGAGTTACAATGTATGTAATAAAAAGTATCTTAAATTTATTTTCATTTCATATGAGGTTTTATGAAACTCGTCTCGAAGTTTTATCACATAATCGGCCTGTTTAGAACATATTTTATTTCTAATTCATATTTATCATCATCCGTAATTATGTACGCTCTGGATACATCTATAGATTAAGGTGACGAGAATGGTTTCTACATTAATATTTTTGAGGAATGCACATTTGCCAAAATGAATACAAGTGTACTACGAAACACACAGGTACGCATGTATTTCAATGTACCCACATATAACCCAGATCGCTGAATGTCGAGTTCCCAATGGACTGGATAGCGTAGCTCTGTTATAACTTATGACAATTAATGTAAGTATATATATAAAATGTAACTTGATAGGACGATGAGCTACGATTCCCGAAGCTCCCAGCGTGTAATAGAACACATGACATAAGATTCGTATTCTATTCACATCATGCTCCAAGTAAGATAAACTGACGTTTTACTATTTAAATATTTCTGATTTATCAGTATATCTTCACGCAACACAAGTACGTAACAGTATAGAAATATTAACTTTATTTATGAAACAAGTAAGTTCAACTTATACTAATCACTCATGTTAGCCCGGATGTAAGCGCGCGTAGGGTCTTAATGTGGGAGGAAACCGGAGTACACGGGGAAACCTTACGTGGTCGGGCAGGTGACCCTATACCTTTTCACGTCCGATCGGGGATTCGAACCCCGGTCGCCTTGGTGAAAGGCGAGTGCGCTATCCACTGCACCACCCGACCACCGAACGTAACAGTATAGGATTGGTATTTCACATCAGAAAATTACCACCACTCCTCAAATTTTGGAAATTCATTTTTCTGTTTCCATAGTAGATTAGACCATTTTACGGCCTCTGATATCACCAATAATTCCTAAAAAGACGAAACAGCTGTATTGTGCAGTCTATTTCACTTTTGGCATAAGGTATATCTATTACCTAATTTCATTTGTCGTTCAACCAGACGCTTGATCACTTGTAATTTCGGCGTAGCTTGCCCAGAAAACAAGAGTCTGGTTGAACGAGACTACAAATTTCATTAGATAGGTACAACAGAATGTGTGTGTCTTGCGTTCATCATCAACCCTTTAAAAATCACATGTAATGGTCAGTGCTGGACACGTTTGTCTTCTACAGTTGTATTATCACAACACGTTCAAATAGCATAAACAGAGTTCAGTACCTAATTAGTATACGGTCTTATACTTATGTGTTGTTATGACGTTCATATTATTGGATCTCTGAGTGAACTAAAGCCTCTTATGTATTGAATCAAAGGGTACAAACGTAAGCTTTTCCTTTCACTGTAAATAAAATGGTTACACGCTTGTTTGCCGAAGGAAAGACTACTCCCATAAATTACAAGGTTGATAAATTAGGATAATCGTGCTGAAACGCCATCTTGTTATCATTACGTGAACTCCTCTTTTGATGAATCAGCTAAATTAACTAATGCACAGATTACTTAATACTTATCATGGTGTGCTAGATGAACTATGAGGAATGCGGAACCTTTGTACTCTTCGGACTTTGATCGCCACCGGAAGTGAATCTGACTTCCGGCTTTTCTCCTTATTGGCATGTTGTTTTATGTATCTTTGTGGTTACGTCAGTAGTGCACTTTTTTAAACTTAATTCAAGAAGCAGGTTTGTTGTGTCTGATGAACAGTCACATGTAGGGAAGTGTATGTGGGGAGATTTTGTTAAAGAGATAATTCGCGTAAATCCATCAGGATATTGCATAAAGTGTCAATATTTTTTGTAGATTTCTTATCGGTACCATAAATCATGTAATGTAATATTAGACACCCATACTTGGGAAGCAATTTTAATATTGTCTAGTTTGCTAATATGGACCGTATCAAATTATCACTTCACATATGACCTTACTATATATAGATATATTAACACAGGTATCATTAATATTAATCACACTTTTGAATTATAACCTATTACACTGTAACATTTTAGCTTAAAACAAAGTCATTTTTACCATTTAGCAGCAACATATATACTATTTACACTGCACACGTCTATCAATTACATTAATAGTTTCACTAATTAAACTGTTAAATGTTTATTAATTAAATTGCAACTATTTTACTAATTAGATTTCTCCCCTTTGTTCAAACACTGATTAACTTAGCAATTCTTTCACACAACATCTTACCATGTAACTTTTAAGAAATGTTGATTAATTTATTTATTTTTTACAAAAATTGGCAAGGCGGGTTTTCTCCGTTTTAAGAAATTATTAATCAATTTATAACGTCTAATACTGTAACATGACAAACATGATTGTAGATCTAGAAAATCATTTTCTCACCTCGATTTATTTAAAACAAAATAAAAACTAAAAAGCAATCGACAAGCCGTCAATAACACTCCAGTGTGACGGTTACATTATTTCCTAGCAGACAATTTTGGTTTCGAAAACAATAACCTCCTTCCTTGACTTGTACTTAACATCATACAATTATAGTTACTAAGGGAACGTGGGCAGATAGTTTCTTTAAGTATTTGTTGCTTAACGTGAAGTCAGACAACATAACTCCTTATTAAAATTCAAACGTTGTACTTTGAATGTGACGTCAACCAAGATAGATGCTTCTTAAGAAATCTGACATGGTTTTCCTCATATGACCTCAGCCAAGATAATTCCTACTTAAAATTCTACGTTGTGTTCCTCCTTGGACGTCAGCCTAGATAGATCCTTCTTGAAATCTGATTCGGTATTCCTCATGTGACGTCAGTCAAGATAGATCCTACTTTGAATTCTGACGTTGAATTCCTCGTGTGACGCCAGCCAATATAGATCCTTCTTCAAAAGTCCGACGTAGTATTACTCATGTAACGTCAGTCAAGATAATTCCTAGTTAAAATCCTACGTGGTGTTCATCATGTGACGTCAGCAAAGATAGATCCTTCTTAAAAGATCTGATGTGGTATTACTCCTTTGACGTCAGCCAATATAGATCCTACTTAAAAATCAGATGTGGTGTTCATTCTGTGAAGTCAGCCAAAATATAGATCCTACTTAAAAATCAGACGTGGTGTTCATTCTGTGAAGTCAGCCAAGATATAGATCCTACTTAAAAACCAGACGTGGTGTTCATTCTGTGACGTCAGCCAAGATATAGATCCTACTTAAAAATCAGACGTGGTGTTCATTCTGTGACGTCAGCCAATATAGATCCTACTTAAAAATCAGACGTGGTGTTCATTCTGTGAAGTCAGCCAAGATATAAATCTTATGCGGTATTACTCCTGTGACGTCAGCCAATGCAATATAGATCCTTTTTAAAATTTTACGTGGTATTCCTCATGTGTCGTCAGCCCATATAGATATTTCTGAAAATTCGACGTGGTACTAGTATTCCTCATGTGACGTCTGTCGTGGTACTAGTTTTCCTCATGTGGCCTATCCTTCTTAAATTCGATGTGGTATTCCTCATTTGGTGTTTCTAAGACTTCCTCTGACGGTTCATTACATGAACAGTTTTAAGTAACTGCGTAATTGATCTATAATATGAAACCAACATTTATCAATAAATTTGATTTAATTATTTTATGATGTGACTTACACCTTCTTGTATCTTAAATGCAGTTTTTTTTATTAAACTAAACCTTTAACCTATAACTAAATAGCGATGCATTATTATCAATATACACGTGGAGACACGTTTTTACTTAACTTAGTTGTTAATAGGACGCTAAACTCAATAATACGAGTACGGTATGCTCGTGTAAATATATTTGAGTAGTGAACGTCACTCTTTTATGATGAACGAATAGCCATTTGGTCGTCAAAGTCGTTTGAAATTAAGAGTCTCGGCACTTGTGGAGATAAACCACATCACAGACACTAAAAGGGGGAGAAGTCCCATCGCAGAGGGGGGATACAATTCCTGCACGGCCGTATATCAGCACTCGTCCCTCCACCACGCACCGTATACCTGTACTGGTACCTCTGTTGTTCAACACGCGCTCAGATATCTACACCGACCCTTACCCGTCGAGTGTATACGAGACCCTTACCCACAGAATCTCTACGACAGCCTGTGTCACTGTGAGACAGGAGAATCAGACATATCGCACATACCTAGACGCCATGACATCATCTGTGCATGACCTCCCATAAAAGTAGTCCCTCCCGTCACGGTGTGATGGGTGGTTTGGGTACGGTCCGGTGACGGCTCTGGAATTCGTAAACCTCGTAGATAATTACTCCGGGCAGAGCATGCTTGTTGGGTTGCCAACAGAAATCATGTGCTGTTTAATTTTCTCTCGAAACTATTTAACTCAGTTTAGTGTTGATTCGTTATAACAATGGAGCTATATAGGAATTATTCGTGGAATATTTTTGTTTTGACAATTATAATCTCCTTCAATTACTTGTCATCTAAGAGTTTTAAAGAAGCGGATGTACCGAGTATCGATGACGATAAATGGCTTTCTGACCTATCAGTAAGTGATGTGATTTTTCTCTTTCTCGCCTGTTGTAGAAAATGTTTGTATCTAGGGAGATTTTAAAGTAATATTTTATATCACCGGAGTAAAGTCTTTGTTTTAAGTAAAATTTGTTTAGAATAATCCGAACTATGTATAAAGTATTAAGAAAAAGCCGTATTCCAATTACTGTTTGATATACATATATGATATCTCAAACTTTGAATCATGCTAAAAATTAGTTTGTTCATCAAATTATAAACTCTTACAATCATGCATCGTAATATTCAGGACAAGGTTTTTTTCCAGTGGTTTACTGAATGAGGAAACGAACAAAAAATGTTTATTTTTGGCAGATGTGGAAATAGATTGAGCTCCTGTTTACAGAATTAACGTATATTTATTTACTGAAGTATACAAATTATAAAAAAAAAAAAAAAATGTGGAGGCTTTCATAACATCGAATAGGGCTTATCATTAGTGTCAAACATCTGCTGTTTTGCAGACATCTGTCTAATTCAACCCTTTTAAATACGAAAGCCGATGCCAAATGACAAACATTTCAGGATAAATATGTCAAATATTTATAGGTAGATTTTTCGTTTTAAGACTTTTTTTTCTTTCTTTTTTTTTTTGCAAAATACGCTGTTAGTCAAGCAAAGAAATGACCACACTATAGTTTTAACATACCAACTTTAGGTAAAACACAATTCAGGAAAGCGATAACGAAATCATCGGTACAGTGTTTAAACCACTACACGACATATTGAATGTGAAAAGTAGTCGGCCCACAGTGTGGAGAAACATTCTTTGGTCGCCATGAAGGGTAGCCATTACCGGCCCATTAGCGTGCCTTACCTCATTCTAAGTGCGATGGGAGGGGGAGTAGGACAGGGGGCGCTAGTCGGTAACCCGGTAACCCGGTAACCCTACAGCCAGCTCAACTATTCAAACAAAAACGTTTAACTTCGGGTAGCAAAAGTTCAAGAACGTGCCGAATGGTATGCTAATGGCGAGCTATCTATATAACGTATACAATATTTACTGTAGTGACATATATATGCATGAATCTATTCTAGTCTGACATGGTGAACGTTATAGGTGTCGCTGTAGGTCGATACATAACAAGATTTAACACCTGGGCTTGTCATGTCACTTGTAACTCTATCTCGGATCACGTCATGCCATTATATCATTTGGACGCCACAAACTGACTAAACATGCATACGAACATCTGTACCAACCCAAACGATTCGCGTTTGACAGTGTTGAACACCCTAGAGTTTGACTTCCGGTCTCGAGGACAGTTTTGGTTCTCTAAACAGGAATCACGGACTTATTAGGGTTAAAGTGTATTTATTTTTGAAAAAATTAATGGCACAAGTTTACTAAGCTAAATTAATCATATTTGTAGGATTAAAGTGCGCAAGGGGTCTTCATGTCGGAGGAAACCGGGGTCTTGGAGAAACCCCACGTGGTCGGGCAGTTGACCCATACATCTTCGCGTTCGATCGGGGAATCGAACCCCGGACGTCTAGGTTAATGACGAGTGCGATACACACGGCTCCACTCAACCCCGGGGTCTTAATATAGTTGTATAGATATTGCTTGTCTAGTTTTATGGTTGTATGTGAAAAAACAATATAAACAAGTAGAAGAATACCCTCGGCAGGTATAAGTTGAAGTTGATCAAGCTATTCTTTTTTCTTACGTCACATATAATATGGTTAATAAATTTAACAGTCTGACAGTTTTGCCGATGGTCTGTCAGCTTTCTCAAGCTAGAAAAAACTTTAACGTTTCAAGTTTTCATTGAGAGAGGTGATAGAACGTATGCGAATATTTTAGACTGGTGAAATTATTTTCATGTCTGGTAATAAAGGTATCCGTATATACAGAAAGTTTATTTACCAAGTTTATGATTCTAGTTTTCATGATAAAGCTGACACATCATTACAAATACTGTCGCTCCAGCAGTCACACAAGAAAATATCCCTCCGGTTTTCTCTTAATTCTTATACATAGATGTTCTTGTAGCTGTTGTTTACTGAGGTAACAGCGATTATGTGAAACGCACCTGTTGAAACAGCACAAGTTCTGTTATGTTTGGATAGAATGATGAGTAAAACTATACGTTGTGACTTAATGATATAGTTAATTTGTACATTTAACTTACGATTTAAGTACCCTCACCCCTAAATAAATTCAATTGATTCTGATTAGGGGTTAACCAGTCTGACAGTCTGTGCACGAATACAAACGCTGTTTCGATTTACCGGGCTAATTAAGAATCCCAATAAAAACCGGAGCGGGACCATATGCTCGGAAGGGTAAACGTTCCAGGCACCACATGTGGTGACAACTGGCATAAAATCCCCCGTCACATCCGCGAAAGTGGGTTTGCCATCAAGGTATTAAAACACATTATATACTTAATGTATGGGGATATAAATGCAAGACTGAGTCGGAAAAAATGGATATTCTGAGTATACCTTTAACCCTTTCACCCCTATATAACTTAAGTAGACTCAACCATACATTGATATGGATGAGTCCATTATGGTCTACAGTTTTGAAATGGTTAATGTATTATGTAGAGCAAAAGAAGCGACGTAAGTGCGACGGTTCGTACTAATAAAGAACACACACACAATTTTGTTACACAGCTGGTTGATATTGAAGTGAAAATATCGCGTGCTCTTGTTCGAAAGTTTATTACAACACACGAAAGTTTCTACATATTTATGGCATTCATAGTTTAACTTGTAATCTAACTCACGTGGTCATATTCTTAACACGAGTCTGAAAAGTTGGTGCTTTCGTTTAAAAGCACAGGGCAGGTAACCTGACCCTAACTCCATCTAATTTCAAGATCGTTCTAAGTACCAGAATTTGTGGTTAGACGTGTTCTGTTGAATAATCAACTACGTAGTCAGGGTTACTTACCTGACAACGTTTAATCTACGCTGAAGGAAGTTTACAGTTTGTTCACGTGTAATGTTGAATAATGATCCTTCCTTACCTGGGGGAGTAATATATAAATCATATACCCTAGTCATACTGCAGGTAAATGCATTAACACTTGGTTTTAAGGTGACCATTATTGTCGAACTGTAAGTAAATGTCTTTAGAGTTTGATAGTGATTTGACCATTACGTTCATAATGTGGGCGAATTGCGAGGCATGAATACCATGTGATTGATTGTTTTTCCCCATTTGGTTTTTTATTGTGCTTCGAAGCTCTGGTCTAGGTTTTCTGTATTTCTCTTGTCTTTACTAACAGCTTTGTCTTAAGAGAATGTTGCATATTTAAGACATAAACACATGAATTTTCAGTGTCATTTTATTTATAAAAACTGAAGTATCTTTCAAATGTTTTCAAAATAATGAGGCTTGTAGTGTTATCTTAATTTTCTACACGATATAGTTTTGCATTGTTGACGTTTGACCACCTGGTAACGGTAATTGGACGGTTTCAAGTCCAGCCTTATTGGCTATGGTGTGTAATCTAAACGCTCTATCAACATCGTAAAGATCGTCGAAATCTCGTTCCATCGTACTTCTGAAATAAAAACTATATCTGACACTGGAAGATTTCAACCGACATATGCTCATAATTCAAGGGATTACGCCTTCCTTTTTGACAATTGAGTTATCGGCGTGCGCAGCAGGAAACTATGATAAATAACGTACCTTCTGTAGTGAAGAGTTCCAAAAGATAGCGACACAAAAGGCCGCGGATGTTCCCGTAGGATAATCGTGAATCTCTCCTGAGATAAGTCGAGATGTTCTGTCGATAAACTTACTTTACAATGTACAATGGCACAGTAGCACAGAGACAGTCACCTACAGCAGGGGGGCAGTCACCTTGACCTGACACATACATCTTTCTAAGTCTAAATCTGTACTTCTCATACGATTCGCTACGTCTACGTTATATCTTAACATTTATCGCATTGCTTGGTGGTAGAACCCTGTTCTGTGTAAACTGTAAAAAAGTCAGGAGATGTGGTGATTTTAATTTAAATGTAATCGAGTGTCACGATTGACCTTCATTGTCAATTGTTTATATATATTTATATATGTTTATATATATATATGTTTATATAGCTGTTTAGATAGGAAGCGCCCGTCTACCTAGCAAACATGATATTTATTTTACAGTGGTTTATATGTCCTCGTTCATAATTGGAGGCTGGGATTTAATACTGCCGCTAATTTGTGCGAATTTAAAAGTTCGCAGATTTATTATCAGATCAAAAGTAGTTTTTAAAAGACAGTTGATTTTTTCTTTAAATAAATTAATATTTTGAACTAAAAAATAATCAACCGCCGCTCGCTCTCAACAAATCTCATGAGCATAAATTGAACATTCGCAATGTTATGTATTTACAAAATTTCTTAAATGAGTGCATGCAGTTACTTTACAGTATATAGTTTTCTATTATTTCGGATATAGATAATAATCTTTGGTAGAGCACAAGAAAAATGTATTTTGAAAAATCTTAGGTTTTAAAGACAATACGGAATGACTATGCAGCTGAAGGATATAGCACAGACTACTATATTACCCTCTATTGGATCTGAGTATCACAACGGTATCTGACGTTAACTGAAACTCGAGATAAGCAGTGATCCCTGTCTCGTTACATTATAGTGGTATGAGCCAGAGGTGTTCCGAATCGTTCATTAGCGTAATTTATCAAGTTTTGTTTCCGCAAACTGACAGTGTGCGGTACTTTACTTTAATTTGATTAAAACCGAAACACAGACAGTGTCACTTTATTTTTATTTGAATTAAATGTCCATTAAATACGTAAACAACATTGCACATACAGATTTGTAATGTAGAACACTCGAGGGCGATCTACATGCCAAACTTTTGAATATTCTCGAATGTTATATCAAGATACCTTGGCATAACTACGATACGTCGGCAATGGTAAACGAAGCATAGTTAGCATTGACAGAGAATAATCTCCAAAGTTCTTTATTTTATTGAATATCAAGTAATCTGAGATAATTTATATTTAAGACATATATATATTTACTGTACATTGACCGCAATTAGTTGCAGTACTCTGTATAATATTAACAAACGGTAGGGAAATCTTGCCATAGTTTATCACCTCAAGCTGACAATACTTGAATATACACAGCAAGGTCATGTACCGGAACACCTGGTAAATTTCAGAATCGTAGCTATTTCTGTCCATTCCACATGTATGTGCCAGAGTATACATTCACTTATAAGAGGTGTTAAGTCGACCTGTCAGATTCCATTACCTACAGGGGTAAAGAGGCGAGACCCTCGGACCCTTCTGATAACGGAGATCAAGCATCAGGTGTCTGCCAGTAGCCGAGAAATACCGAAACTGATTCGCAAAGAATTGAATTACTCCGGCTACCAGTAGCCAGTGATTATCGTCTTCCAAAAATAATTCATCTTAAATTCGTCGACACCATTTGACGTCACAATAATGGTTTAATCATTTTTATGGGTACATTAAGGTTTTCTCGAGTATTTGAACGTATAAACATCGTTAAAATCAAATAATCGTGTTGTTCGTCATTGCAAAATATTACATACTTGAAGGTATGATAAAAAATCGGTTGTACCTATTGCGTATTTAATGTTTTGTATGAATTCAATTAATTCATTTGACCTTCCGAGTTTACACTTGTGTTCGTGACATCAGTAATGATTAATAACATGACGTGTCGGGGTCAGTTTGGGCCATTGACGTAATTAGCAATAGACATCTGGTGCTTCATTTGCAACTAATAAATATCCGGACGGTGCAGACGCAAACTGTTTCGATTGACCAATCAAATACCGCGTTACATTTCAGATGAAGTAGAAACATCTAGAAAAGAACAGCTAGAAACTGAAATAAACAGTGACTAAGATAAACACCTAATAGCTGTAATTTACACGTAGAAGTTATGGTAATGAGCATGTAGTAACGTTAACTGGAATAGCCACTCAAGTTCTGTCTGAAATACAGCAATACTTACTTACGAATCGGTCATAGAAAAATATTTACAAACTATACTGTTCCCTGGAAGCCACAATAATGAATTACTTAACTGCATTCTGAGCGGGTAGAAAATATGTAATTTACTGCTTTTCAATTTCCAGAATTATTACTTTGACTATATGGGCGATGCTCCGGACAGTGTAACGAATAACGACAACGATCTGTGCCCGCCTATACCGGAAGTAATACCAACGCATGCCTGTAAAGTCAAATCAAAATGTGAAAGTGATTTAGACTGCCGGAAGAGGACCGCACGATGTTGTTACAATGGATGCGTGCGCACATGCAGGAGGCAGCAGGACCCCCCAGCTGGTAAATATAAACCAGGAATAACGATAAACATCAACACAATTTACATAACTTGGAGATCTCGAATCTTTCTCATTGCAATATTTCTCAACAGCATTTTATTACCGTTACAACCGGTACAAACTTACAATTGAATACGGAAAAGGATTACAATACAAGTGTGAAGCTATTGCATATGATTCATGTTTAAAACCTGATGTGCATGGAACCATTACCCGGAACTATTGTCTCAAGATCTTAATCCTTCTGTAATGATTTAAAAATCAAGACCGCTTGAACATTATTGAGTGTATGTTGTTTAATTATTTTCCGGACATAACTAACATATTCGAGATACTATATCAAACATAGATATTATACTAGTGTTATTTTTTTTATATATTTTCTGTACCTTAAAGGACAAACTGTCAAAAAAGTGTAAGGGATACTGGCACTAATACATCAGATGTGTACTGTACACTATAATAACACATGTACGAGATACTAGTTATCTTATACGAAGTTCTCTTACGAATTGAAAATAATGTATAAAACATATGTCACCCTGGTAAAAATACTAGCCGCTTCCTGCCGTCTCGGGTAGGGAGAATTTCTCTTTAGCTCATTCGATAGAGCGTAAGACTAGTAAGCCAAATGTCCAGGGTTCGACTCCTAGCAGAAGGGTTCGACTCCTAGCGGAGGCATTGAAAAACTAATGCCTTCTGTTACACATATACACCTTAAATATATAGAATGTTTATAAAATTATCAAGGATGATATATAGCAAATGGAGTAAGTAGGGAATAAAATATAGATGAAATAAAACATATGCTGGAAAATATACAATAGCATATCAATCATTTTCAACACAGTGCAAATACAGCATACAAGATTGACAGCAAAAGGGGGGAAAAGATAAATATTGAGCATTACGATTTTAAATTAAATAGTCAGTGAAAACGTAATATATGGGCCCGGGACATTAGGACATTAAACAGAAACGGCATATTGGATTTTTTTCAGTTTTAGAATAATACTTTGAAAAAGACAGTTGAAATTTAATTTTTGCTAAAAATAACATGATACATCATATCAGCTTTGTTGTCTTCCTATCCACTGGCTAATATTAACTCATTCACCCCTGAAATTTCATAATGAACTATTCCAACCTTTGAATTGGAAGAGTTCAAATATGTCTCCAGGGGTGGATGAGTCAATGGCCTGTGAATATCCGGTCCAGATTATCGGCAAATGGCAATAGAGCGCTACAAACGTTCTATGTGCCTATGACTAGTCCAAAATGTACACAGTTATAAATCACTATCCCTAAAGAAACAATACGATGATCAAACTTCTATTAGACATAACGCTCAAATATTTTGTGCAAAAATTGAAGTAAGCGCAGTTATTACCAATGGCTGTCGCTTCTGCAGAGATATAACGAACCTTGTTCGACAGATTGTCGCTCAGATTGGGTTATTTTTCAAGAGGATGTCAAACATAAAACATAATTGATATTATTGATACCAGGCCGGTCACTAGTCTGCAGTTGTTTTATCCAATATAGCTTCGTGGATATTTCTCTGTGTAATCTCTCATACCGGTATGATCAACGGTCAGAACCCTCACATCTCTCCCGGAGTAGTTTGACATACTGAAGTGCTAAACAACAGTTAAGTGTGGAGAGGAGGTGGTCGACTACGAGAAGGTGTTGAGAGAGGTGGTCGACTACGTATACGAGAAGGTGTTGAGAGAGGTGGTTGACTACGAGGTGTTGAGAGAGGTGGTTGACTACGAGAAGGTGTTGAGAAAGGTGGTTGACTACGAGAGGTGTTGAGAGAGGTGGTCGACTACGAGAAGGTGTTTAGAGGTGGTCGACTACGAGAAGGTGTTGAGAGAGGTCGTCGACTACGAGAAGGTGTTGAGAGAGGTGGTTGACTACGAGAAGGTGTTGAGAGAGGTGGTTGACTACGAGGTGTTGAGAGAGGTGGTTGACTACGTGAAGGTGTTGAGAGAGGTGGTCGACTACTAGAAGGTGTTGAGAGAGGTGGTCGACTAAGAGAAGGTGTTGAGAGAGGTGGTTGACTACGTGAAGGTGTTGAGAGAGGTGGTCGACTACAAGAATGTGTTGAGAGAGGTGGTCGACTACAAGAAGGTGTGGAGAGAGGTGGTCGACGACGAGAAGGTGTTGAGAGAGGTGGTTGACTACGAGAAGGTGTTGAGAGAGGTGATCGACTACGAGAAGGTGTTGAGAGAGGTAGTTGACTACAAGAAGGTGTTGAGAGAGGTGGTTGACTACGTGAAGGTGTTGAGAGAGGTGGTCGACTACGAGAAGGTGTTGAGAGAGGTAGTCGACTACGAGAAGGTGTTGAGAGGAATTCTGCTATCACCCACGCGCTGCATTTTACATATTTCACAAATAAATGAGTTAGATAGCTTGTTTGTTTTGGTTTTAAAAGGCTAGTGTCAAATTAAGACAAATACATTTATGTTCTCTACGAATACATCTACCATGAAACAGATATTTCTTATAACGGATGCGTAGGGAGGCTCCACTGAAAAAGAGGAATAGGAAGTAGAAAAAGGAAAGATAAATTACCAAAGTGTTGCAATTGGGGTAGCAGATCTAATTTAGTTTCGTCAATGTGTCATGAGTAGAAAACACTAAAGAAAACATCCGCTTCGTTAAGAGAACCACATGTGTCGCCTCTAAAGCTCACACATCCTCGATATCCAAGGGTTACGCTCACTTACGCCCTCTGCACCCCTGGAATATGTCATAGCAAAACTGAAGGTTCAGTGTGCACCACCTTGTTGATGAGACAAGAAGACTAGTTCTTTCCTTTGAAGTACATCAAAAAATCTCGCAGTCGCGTAACTGTAAAAAATGATTGACTTTGAAGTCGGGTGTCGCCCCTTTGTAATCTTGAAAGGGCAGGTATCAGCCTAGCGATTGGTCAGGTTTTTTATTACCTGAGACCAATCAAACAGCTATCTTTGTGCCTTCAATTTTGCTATGACATATTCCAGGGGTGTAGAGAGCGAAAGTAAGCGTAGCCCATGGATATCGAGGATGAACCTCACATAAAGTCAGATTGTGCTCGGGACTGCAAGAAATAGTGACCAAGGTCCGATTTGTCTCTCTCCCTTAACTTAACACTAGGATCTATGCACTGACCTCAGTTTCACGAAGGTCCCTTAAGTTAAATATATTGCATAACTATTCATAAAACTAGGGCTTTATTGAGTAAACAACACAGTTTGCATTTGTTATCCTTACAAATAGAACAGGAATTTGGACATAGTTGTTGAATTGGTACGGAGTTTACAGCTAACGACCGTGTCATTCAGGATCTTTGTATACGGTCGGCAATCATTGTTAGTAATATGATTTGCTTTACTTTACTAAATGATGATCCGGTGCTTCATGATGATGGTATGTTGGTGATATTTGACGTACAATCCGCTCAACGTGTTCGTCCTTCATTTGGTATTGAAGTAAATTTCTACCCCTGCTTAACGCTCAGCAATTTAGGATTGGGACGACTGGTTCGTCCGTTGTCAGTATAATGTTACCGGGTGGGGTGTCCTGCTGGGTGTCTTCGGCAGTATGTTTCAGTGAGGTTAAGCACTATAAAGTCGGCATCAGTTCCGCTCTATCACAAGGAGACAAACACGAACATATCGCAGCCTCCCAAAACACACATGCATACACTACACGCTTGTATCTTACACACAGGGGAGGCCGTCCTTAAATGACCATAGCTGTTGATAGGACGTTAAACAACACTTAACTAAACAAAACTAACTCTGTAACCATATTTAACTTCATATGGTACAGTAAAATGTACAAATGACAGAAGTTTCAAATAGGTGCTTCGTTTCTTCCCATTTCTAGTGATTGTTTTACACACAACCAAATGTCAAACTCTGTATGCATGTATGAAATATGTAAGTCTAAGGGAGAGAACGACCCTCCTCTTAACGGTCTTCTCCTTTCGGCATTGGTAAACCCACATCGAGTAGTACATATTTTTTATGACAGCAGTTTCATTGTTGTACTGATCACCATATTTAGTGATACCAATAAATTCGTGGATTAATGCTGTGTAGAGGGGCCATTCGCCGCTGTTCTGCTTTTGCCTTTTTCGCCCTCCACAATGAGGGGCGAATGAGAAGAAAGAAATTAACACTGGACGAATATGAATTTTATCGGCATGGGGCAACATTTTGATTGGGCAAAAGTGTCCCGGTATACATCAGTGTCCATGAAACCGACAAAATAAATCCACACGAAAATTAATGATTTTACAGCACACCATAATATATCAAACATGCATGTACAATATAAGGGATACAGTATCAAACAAGAGTGATATAGTACATAATATCATGTAGACACAATCGTTTCAAATAGATACATTCTTTCCTTTCTTTATATTTTCAGTAATAGATTGGGTGAAAGAACCTCGCCGAAGACTTAGCTCAGGTAGGTTACCGTTGGTGTGCATAGTGATAGCCATCGTTTAGACATCAATGATAGAAACATACGGAGATGAGATGTATAATAATAGATGTTTCGAGTTGACCAGAACAAAGCATAATAATGGTATCTACCATGCATAACGGCTTCAATCTTTGCTTAATAAAGTGTTCTTTGATTAGAATCTACTATTGAGTTTTGTAAGAGTAAAAACGAAACTGTTACAAAGGATTTTATTTGATGTGAACAAGCTAAACTTGTTCATACACAACTGATTTTGACCCATAGGTATTATTTCTGTACTATCGGAATGTTTTGTAAGATCAATTCTGGTTTTAGTGGCATATTTCTGGTATCCATTTATTTTAGGCAACGTTACGGAAATAGTTGGCTTATTAATGAAACCAAATACCATGACTTGTGGCCACAATTATCCTTACAGTTTAAAATATCACAATGCCAGAAATATGCCACCATAGGTTTCTGTATACCTTGAAATGGGTATACTCCTTATGTAAATATATTGTTAAAGCTATACCACTGCGTCAACACATAATAGACAGATACGAATTCAAAGTCGAAACGAAATGGAAGAACCTTGGACCGAGGAGACACTATAAGAAACTAAAAGACATCAAGAATCCCAAATACCTTTGTCGAAACCAGAGGAAGCGTTTTGTCGTACTGTTGGCACAAGTTTGCAGTTACTCTGCAATCATAATTTATTTATAGATATTTATTATTTTAAAACATTAATTATACCACTTTCCTTCCTGCCATGTTTCAACGTTGGAAGATTGAGTCTTTGTAATCTTTCTCTGTACATTGTATGTTAAATTTTAAAGCCTTGTAAATGTTGTGTAGTCCTTCTTTGAACGTTTCCAGTAAGATTGATATCTATGTCGTATGCCATATCTAAGGAATTGTATTGGTCACCTGCGATGTTTAATACTGAAATGTCCTTAGCGTATATTCATGTTTCCCAGGTAGATTACCCTGGCTGCGTAGTTTGTTGACATCCCTGGTTAACATCCCTGCTCCCCCTCTCTACGTTGTATACATGTTGCAATCGATTAGGTATTCAGGAGTCTGGTCCGAATATCATGACTTTCGCAACATATTTCAACTGCTGACGGACAAACTTACATACATCACAAGGTTTCCAAAATGCAGGTTGATGAAGACTTTGAACAAGCTTCATGGTCACAACAATAATATCATTTGGAAATATGTTGCTTCTTTGTGTAGTACATGTATAAAGGTTCTATTTTTCATAATGCTGATTAGTATGCCTTGTAAATTTGTTGGTACTACGCGAGTTTTCGGTGTAACATTACTTGGATTTCACCTAGATTTACATGGCGGGTGTCGTCGATGAAGCAAAATATGCTTACCCTCCTGGAACACCTGGTCGTATTTTCCTTGTAACTTTATAAGGGTATCTATGTAAATATATTCTTTTTGCGTATTTCGCCCTAGTTTTACTGATTTGGAGTTCAAATTAGGGTTTTGTAAATACGGTTTTCTCTTGTTGTTTATGAATCGTCAGGAGACATCCATATATGTATCAAGCAGTGATATTTAGAACAGTCTATCTGGAGTATCGCATGAACTGTAACATTTAAACTCCATAGTTGATAGTATGTTACTACTGACATGTAAATCCCATAAGCAGGGGAAACTTGAAATGAATACTAAGGAGATAAAAATATACGATTCTAAAACCAATGTCATTTTGATAATAATATTTATTGGTAAGAAACATTGGCTTCAATATAAGTAATAAGTATGACTTCACTTTTTATGTACCGAATACACTGCCCAATTCACCAAATAAGCCAATAAATTTTGAAATATTGTGTTGATATACAGTACATATAACAATACATACACGTATTTCATATAAGTACGGCTTTGACCCAGTAGGGAAACACTGCTTTGTCCAATACCATTCCCTATGCTGTTATCCCTATGGTTTCCATCGAGAAATGAATGCTAGAATACATTCTTGTAATTTTGTTACCGAGTTTATTAAATGAGACCTTGTGAATTATTTATTTCGCACCTGTTTGCCGCGGGGTATTTTTTTCAGAGACCCCTGCAGCTATCCAATCAAAATGTAATATAAAGTCACGTGATGAACTACTTTTAGACAAAGCTTCCGCCTGAATAGACCCGCGGTGTAGTGCGATGTTGCTTTCAGCGTCTGGTCAAGTAATTACGTTTGCGAGCGTTATATTATGTAACAACCTGTTTTATACCGACGTGGGATTGCCACTTCAACAGGTTTTTATTAGACAAATAGGGGGTAATTATCATGCTTTTCAATTACCCATGAGAACGAGAGGAATGCATTGTATTACCGTACTTAACATATGTAATGTACACGGATTGTATATACGACGTAATTTACTTATTTAAAGCTAATATGCAATACAAAACATATGTGTGGCGTTTATAACATACCTACAATTGTTCTTCATATCATATCTTTATACTTATTTTCACCCGGTATGAAAGCTCAAAAGTTACATTCCAAAAAGTCGAACTGAACAACAATGGCAGCCAAATGGCGTCGAGCACGGAAAACGACGTCGGTTTAACATAGAGAAAAATGGCACTAAAATGTCCGGGACGTTCGCTGTTTCACTAGAGTAAGGTTCAACAGATAGGTAACATTGGATTTATAACATACATGGTGAGTCTTACTATAGTAATACAGTCATTTTACACTGTCTTGTAGATGACATTGTGATAATGCAAGGTGTTTCATTAGCCGAGCAGGTAGAACACCTTTTTATATGGATCTCACCTGTTGTTATCCATTGATCAAACCAAGGAATTGAACAAAGAATATGTTCCGGGCATTTTTGCCCCATTTTTCGCCATGGTAAAATGACGTCTTTATTTCGTTCTAGTCGTCGTGTTGTTCACCATTGTTATTTGGTTCAAGGTTTGGGAAGTATATTGAACAATAATACGGGGTAATGACGAGTAGGTGGGTTTTTTTTTTTTTATATAAAGAACAATTGTAAGTATGTAACTAATGTTATACCACAGGTATGTTCATAGGACATCACATATTGCACTCGTTTATCGTTTTAATGGATACATTTTACGAGGGGAAAACCTTTGTCCTGTTACCTTTGTTGGAATTCCTTTTGTTTCGATTTCGACTGTATTGTTGTTTTCAACATATCGAGTTTAAATTCCGAGATGTGAACTTTTTTCTTCTTATATCTATATATTGTGTGTCAAATATCATCATTTTCACAATTATACAGCAGGTGATAGGTTGATCGAGATACATGTATCAAGGCAAGGCCATACGGGTGGCGAATAACACCTTTGATTTAAAGGCAAGTGTTTTGTAAACATCGCTAGGCATGTAAACAACATACTGAGTTAAATACGGTAAGTTATTATCGGCAGCACGGGGAGGCCTGCAGACTTTTTCATACAGTTTCGTATATTGCATGTAGCAACAGAGACGCGTGAACAAATAAAACCGAGATTGATGGCGGTCTAATTATCCTGCTATGTGAAATACATGTGGTAAGACGGCGTGGGCTGTAAAAACAGAAATCATTAAGTCGCCATAAACCTTTCGAGATTGTTATCAATCTGCTAGATTATTTTTTATTTTTAAATTAACACGGTTTAAAGCTAAGGAAAATAAATGATAAATTATGGCAATCTCTTTTGATATTTATTCCTTCTTGTTTTTGTCCCACAGGTGCATGTAACGCATTAGTAGGGTTGTGTTTATAGATAGGTGTCTGTTGTAGCGTTTTGATAATATTTGTTTCCTTATAAAGCTACTTAAGGTAATGATTCTGCCTAACCTTGCCACATTGTAGTCAATGTGATTAAAAGGAAGACTTGTCGGTAGTTGACTGTTTCCTTATGACTATCTTGAGTGTTTAGCCTCGGTGTGCTTGTTGTCTTAGTTTCAACTAATGGCGTGTGGCGTCTTGTGTTAAAATAAATCACATACTAGTCTTATATTTTTATGTAGTATGCATGTCACAATTGATTCATTTATTTAGAGGCTTTTCTAGGTATATGCATTTACTCAGTAGATGTTTCGAGTTTACCAGAACAAAGCATATTAATGGTATCTACCATGCATAACGGCTTCAATCTTTGCTTAAGAAAGGTTAAGGTCGAAATAAAAACCAGAATATTGCATTACAGTGTCGTCCATGATAGACCGTTTCTTTGATCGCTTGTGTCCGACACTTTTCTCTAGATTGAGCAAGAGACATGGTTCGTGGTGCTGGAAACGATTACTCTATGGATTGTTTGTTTAATGAGACTAATGAGGTTATACTTTTTCTGTGCTTAATTTAGCCTGTAATCTCCCATTTTAGTATAAGAGGGTATATTTTGCTGTAATATTTCCATTTTATCACTGAAAGTCATAGAAGGTAGTATATTTTACTAGTATGATATTACCATTTTAGTACTACGTGATATAGTATGGTATAATGTTACCATTTTTGATTCTGATAGCAAACCGGATTCCTTTCCACTCATTGTATGTGTGATTTCTTACCCCTTTCACCCCTATGTAACTTAAGTTAAACCTTCCATGCATTGATTTGGATGAGTCCATTGTGGTCTACAGTAGTGAAAAGGTTACATAGGTAATATCTGTCTCTTTTTTTTATTCAAACAAAAAATACGTTTCCCGGTTCCGTATGCTACTTTGTTTATTCTGACTTTCAGAACAATATCATAGTGAGTCGCTCATTATGTTATGTTATACATAAAATTCAGCCTTCATCATTCTACCAATATTTGTGGAGGAAATATAAGTTCTTTACCAATTGTACATGTAAGGCTACAGTAAAAGATAAATTTCTGGATATAACGGAAGACATTTCAATGGGAGCCTCGTGTGTGGCAGGAAAACACTTACCTGTCCTTTTTCCCCGGCTATTGTCTTTTTACCTTGACTTTGACTTCCACAACGGCTTGACGCTGTAATAGTCTTCATTATAGGGCAACAGATAGAAAATGGAAGTAAATAAAGAGTTTAAAACAGTAGTGACGTTTTCAGTTGTTTGTTATCTCTGTTTTGCCTATTTTTTGATACCTTTATTGAAAACGTTGCATAATACTTTTCCTGCATTTATTGGATTTTTGTGTCTTTTTGTCAGGAATTTCATGGCTTTTGAGCGGTCCCGATATAGCACAAGAATGTATGTATATCTTTGACATATTGTTATTATTCAAATCAGAAACATTTATCACAACATTTTATCATACACTATTTCATTTTCAGATAATCTTTATCGATTGATAGGTTTTACGTCCGCTTCACTACCGAGTAGTTCCGTTATCCAGCAGACTTATATAATCTTTATCTTGCCATTTGCATAATATAATATTTACATTGAGCCTATCAATTGTATCGGCGATATCTATTTCAGTCGTTGTGCCAGATAGAACGCGTACGCATTAAATGGCATTATGTAATTCCTTGTGTATACTATTAAAATGCTAGTTTTGTATCCCGTACAGTGCATAATATATTTTTTGAATTTTTGAAAGAAACACAACACGCATACTGCAATGTTTACATCCTCAGTGGAGCCGTGCAGTACCACTCCGTACACTGACGAGGAGGACCCGCTACTTTGTCCCCATGGTTACGTGTGTCACGTGGAAGATCCCGGGGACCCAGAGCTAGACCTTCCCAATAGGGGCCACTGTATTCCAGAGTCTGATGATAAATGTAGGTAAACATTGTGTACTCTCCACACTATCCAACTCTTAATGCAACTCGCAGGAAAAATTAAAATGTGAGTGTCCCATTGCGGTTTTGAATTGAACAACCAAACAAAATGTCTGCATTGTCTGGTATCGTCTCTTCAAATACCTGAAATTTCTTGTTAGATTTGAATGTATAGAATAACACATTAACCGTATGTGAACTACTCCACTTAATTCAGTGATATCAACAATAAGTATTAAATCGTCATCACCTCATTCTGGTGAGCGGATGGGGGATCTCAATATTGTGCTCTGCGATTTTGATTTACGACTGATCTGTGCTGTAGATATGTACTTTTCTGGATTTTACCCGAGATATTCGGTAAATACTGTTGTCTGCAACGAGCCTCGTCTGAATGTTCTTTATCACTTTGTCTGGTATATAGCTGAGCTTGACGTTTGACATTTGGACTTCAAAAAGAATCGCAAGGAAGCAAAATATACATTTTACATGTACTATGATATGAGTCTTGTTTCCTTCTACCTCCATACTTGCTGAGGTAACAGAAATGTAAATACCGGTACAATACTCATATGTTAGCTTTGATTTGTTTTATTTCACCTTATATACCTCCTCCATCAAGAGCCAGGGTCAAAGTCAGAGATCCACTTTGTCTTTGACCTTTGGACCCAAATAACCTTGACCATTAACCCAGTGACCCTGATCTTTGGTCAGTTGACTTCTTCTTTAATTCCGACCAACTTTGCTTCTTAATATCATAACAAAATGTTGATCAGTGAAAAATACAAAAATTGACCTTGACCCTTTGGACCCTGTAACCTGGACCTAAGGTCAGTTGACTCTGTGTTAAGTTCTGAACAACATTGCTTCCTAATGTCATAACAAAATGTTCTTCAGGGAAAAGGTACAAAATTTAACCTTCACCTTTGACCCAGTGACCTTGACCTTTGGTCAATTGACTCCTTGTTTAATTATGAGCAACATTGCTTCAAAGTGTCATAGCGAAATGTTCACCAGTGAAAAGATACAAAATTTAACCTTGACCTTTGACCCAATGGCCCTGACCTTTGGTCAGTTGACTCCTTGTTAATTCTGATCAACTTTGCTTCATCATGTCATAACAAAATGTTCATCAGTGAAAAGATGCACAATTTGACCTTGACTTTTGAATCTAATGACCTTGACCTTTGACCGCGACTATTTAACTCAGTGTGTCTCTTTGTTTAATTCCGAACAACTTTGCTTCATAATGACATAGCGAAATGTTCACCAGTGAAAAGCTACAAAATTTGACCTTGACCCCTGACCCGATGACATTGACCTTTGGTCAGTTGACTCCTTGTTCAATTCACATCAACTTTGCTTCATAACGTCATAACAAAATGTTTATCAGTGAAAATATGTAAAATTTGACCTTGACCTTTGAACCTGATGACCTTGACTATTGACCTTGACTTTTTATCTAAATGTGTATTTTTTTGCACTGAACATCTTGACCAAGTTTCACGTACATCGGTCAATATATACTAAAGTTATCAGCCAAAAACAAAATTTGTGGACAGACAGACAGACAGAGTGATTACTATAGGGCACCCGTATCTCCGATACGAGGCCCTAACTATGTTGCATCACATAATTTATTCTAAGACTTGTATTCCATGTAAACCTGCCAGAATAATGATTGATATGAGTAAGAAAGTGTTTCGTCATAACGTTAACAGGATGCTGATGACAGCAAAGTCTAACACTTTGATCAACCCGACACGTTATGATTATAGGTGATGTTTTCTTACATATATTTCAGTGTACGTTGGGCGTGGATAGCCATTCTTTTGACATTAAGTGACTTTGATGAGTCCTAAAAGGACCCAACGGTCTTGCGGTGCAGTGAATTGTTTATTTGTTAGGTTTCTGCATCTACAAACGAAATTTTTAAATGGGTTCTTCATTCTTCGTATGTCTAGTGCTTAATTTACAAAACAAGATGGCTGGCTCAGCTGGTGGACTAACAGTATACGATCTCGGCCATACTGGACAGTCTAAGGTTAATATGTTGGGATTTCTAGATCTACCCGTTTTTTTCTAATAGGTAGTTCATTTCTGCATATTTATTTAGTCTATGTCCAATGTATGTCAACTTAGGATTATAGGTGAAGCCCACATGATGCAGCCCCCATTACTGGTCGTGTTACACTAGGTTATATATCATGTTTGGGTAATTTATATGTTATCATTTCTTGCAATAGACATAACTGACTTTTTGGGGTGTCCTGCTGGGTTGTCCTGGGCAGTATGTTTCAGTGAGGTAGCACTATAAAGTCGACATCAGTTTCGTTCTATCACAAGGAGATAAACACGAATATAGCGCAGCCTCCCAAATCACACACGCATGCATCTTGCACACAGGGGAGGCCGCCCTTAAATGACCATAGCTGTTGGTAGGACGTTAAACAATACTAAACCAAACCAATCACAGGGGAGCAACAGTATTAAGAGAAGTATTACAACATTGTAGGTGAATGACACACTGACATAATTTTCAATGTACGGTTATAATTAAGCGATATTTCATTTTCTAATTGCGTACTAAATAAACATCACTATACTATAATTTGAGTGAATTTACGAACAAGAGCCTTCTTATATTTGAACAACTTTTAGATGGAGTTCTTTTGTAGTACTACTGTGTATGTTGTAGAAGCGGTTTACACTGAAACCAGTCGTCACTAACGATAACTCTTGTTTTTGATATTTGTAGTCGCCCGGTTAGGAGTGGGCTATGTCTCTCGTCGTATGAAGGATAACTCCTGTTGGATGGACAAATATGTCCTGTTGGACGGGGCCAGCATGATGTTTAAAGGCAAAACATGGTACGTATTTACACATATTTACAACACATCAAACGAATTCTTATCACAAAATATTTTTATGGAACGAGCTTCAAGTAACCATGACATTAATATAAAAGACCAATTCTCTGAGCTAAGATACTCACATCGTCGGATAACAACAGTCGATTGTGCTACACTTACCGCATCTTTGCTAGCCAAGTGTTCGCTTCGTATATATACTGTACATTCCACTTAAAGTAAGTGGAGTGTATACGAAGCGAACACTTGCATTGGCTAATCAAAACGTGTTGCCATCTTGAACCACGTTTGCGATCTGATTAATGCTTCATATGGACCAAATATAGCATAAGTAATGTAAAAACGTATGTTGTATAATACACAGCTACATATCAACTATTCACAGGTCCAGTATCCTCTGCCAATTGAGCTATATAGCTATACAGACCTATATAGCTATATTCACATATAAATTATAGCTGTATTGAGCTATATTTTCTCGAATTTCAATTTTCATTAAATTAAAGCAAAGTCGCATTAAAATATAAGGTTTATGACAATGTTGACTACAAAAAACATACAATTCAATTAGATGTTTATTTTCATTTTTCATAAATGTAAAATTTTCGATTTTTTTTACATCATAATTTTTTAAAAAGAATACTTATATTTAATGTCTTTTGTTATCAACCTAATGATAAAATCTTCTTTTAACAGCGACTTTGTTTCATTTTCCTTAAAAAAAAATCACATGAAAATAGCTCAAAAGAACTATTTCGGATAGGTCAATACAGCTTTTATAGGTCTTTACAGCTAGCTGTATAGCTCTATCGGCAGAGTGTACTGGACCTGATTCACGGGTGAAATGCGGCATTTATGAAACAGTATATAATTGGCTTCCCATTGTTTCATAAAGAACACCTATCGATTGTTGGTAAAGTTGCTATACACGATTGAAGAGAGGTTATCTCTCTTTGGCTATAAAACTATATAACCTCGTATATCTGAGTAAATTAAGCTCGTTTTGTTATCTTTTTCAGTATCTGTAAACGAGGATTTTTAACATGTATTCAGAAAAATGGAGGTAAGAAACATATTACTTTCATTATTGATTTCATATAAATACATACAGTGTAAAGTTAATGTATCCGGAAAATAGATCGCGCATTTTTTACATATTTATCTCAACCCCACATTTTAACCATAGACAATTGTTTATTTTGGTTTATTTGGCGAATCAAAATATTTCTGACTATGTGTAAGAATGATAAAACGTTACAGCAAAGAAGCTTGTGAAAATGTACAATAAGTAAAATAATTATCACACAATAAGTATTTAACTAATCGGCCAGATACGAGCTGGAGATAATATCTATATCCCAGAATCTTTCTGTAGACGGATTAGAGAAGAAAATAATATTAAGTACTAGCAAAATCTGTACGGCCTTAGTAATATCGATACATGTAGTACCGTAAAAATGTAATTGGAAGGTGTATGCAGTGTTATGTGATAGTATTTTCATTCAAATTGTCTTGAATTTCGTGTTATGTATATGTGTATATGATTGTCTTGACACCGGGGAACGATTGCCACGAAAAAATCTTTTACGAGAAATAAATACAAATTTATCCTTTAAACAGATCCGACCGTTCTTTTCTAGGCATAAGGAATAAATGGGGAAAAAATGTTTTTACATGACAACTTATAATAATTTCATCAACATGTTTACTACTTAATTCTAATACTGATGCATACTCAGTCGACCGGCAGGCAGCCAACGTTACTTATAATGATTAATTTGATAGTTTTTAAATTCACTATACAATGTAACCCTTTGGCATTTATTGACAATTTTTCAAGTTCCAATTTTCGTTTTAATTTCAAATTGACAATCAATGATGTAACTCGCGTTTATTTCTTTGATTTCAGGATCAACATCTTTGTGAGCGATTCCTATTTCTACCTGTACCAAACCATTGCACTGATTATTTATTTGTTATTAATTATGAATATTGACTATTTATGAAAATACAAAGGAACGTGTACATGTATTTTATCAACCGAAACGTTGGTTATATATATAGCTGTGTAATTTGCATTTAGCGAAAGACCGAAATTGAAAAGACGAAATACAGATTTTTTACAAATGTCTCAATGGTTACAAGTGAGAAAGGCAAGTTTACGCAATGTTTCAATAGTGATTGTAATGGTGAACTATTGAAAAGTGTACCAAACACCCCACTGTGATTGTAATGGTGAAATATTGAAAAGTGTACCAAACATCTCACTGTGATTGTAATGGTGAACTATTGAAAAGTGTACCAAACATCCCGCTGTGATTGTAATGGTGAAATATTGAAAAGTGTACCAAACATCTCGCTGTGATTGTAATGGGGAACTATTGAAAAGGGTACAAAACATCTCACTGTGATTGTAATGGTGAACTATTGAAAAGTGTACCAAACATCTCACTGTGATTGTAATGGTGAAATATTGAAAAGTGTACAAAACATCTCACTGTGTTTGTAATGGTGAACTATTGAAAAGTGTACCAAACATCTCACTGTGTTTGTAATGGTGAAATAAACAAAAAATATTTAAATACGCCTCACTGGTAATTTGATAATGATGTAAACTAACAGTGTACTTCATCAACAACTATAGGACATATAAGACAACAACAACCGTTTCCCAATTTGACCTGCTCTGGACTACCCGATATTCCTCTAACCACCAAGTGAGGTCCATCCTCGATATCCAGGGGTTACGTGACCGCGAGATTCTTTTGATGTATGTCTACTAAACAAGGTGGCACACACCGAGCCTTCAATTTTGCTATGACATATTCCAGGGGAGCAGAGAGAGAAAGTGAGCCACAGACACTAGCCTCGTCTGTCAATTAACCTAGGTGTATTGACAGACGAGGCTAGTGACTGTGAGTGAGCGTTACCCCTAGATATTGAGGATGGGCGAGGTCAACTAGCACCTCCAGCCCTCTGGTTATAGATTCAGTCCCGCGCTGCATTGTTTTTGGTTGTCTCTTTAGCAAGGTATTGTACATTTGAGTGCTACCTTCAGAATGTCTCGCTGTTGTATTCTCAAGATGCAACACATTCATTTTATTTTAGATGCTTGCTACAAGACCCTGGTAGCCAGTCCTTGAATGGAATTATTTGTTTCATATGATGTTCGGTCAGAAAAATAACCCCCATCAAACGAAGACATATATTGTGGAAAGATTTAGTTCCCCCGCGTTTTCTTAAATGACAACCTTGCATTCAGAGCAAAACTGCAGAACCGACAAGATGGTGTTGCTGTATAGCCTATTTTTGGTACTGTGACCGTTTTTCGTAATTTCAGATAGAACGAAATCTACTAAATGCACCATCAGCTTTCTCCAATCTCGTCTTGATATCTTTCCCTTTTCCAGTGGCTATCCTAATGTGACTTCTCAATAACGCAAAACGTAAAATTCGACACCTGCTTTAGAGTCTCGCTGTACAGTGTGACAGGTACACCTGGTGATGTGTTGAAACTCTTCACACAGGTTTAGGTCCTTTGATGAAACACAACAAGGGAATGACGAAGTATCAACAAAGCCGTAATTTGAACTCAAAATCTATAAATTAAGGGCAAAGTATGAACAACTGAAAGATATGCATATACGCCATTGGAAAAGTGCAAGGAGAATCAGACCAGGTGTTCCAGGGGGGTAAGCGTCTTCTGATTTATCGCCAACACCCATCATGTTAATCTAGGTTAAATCCAAATGATGTTATTTCCTCACATTGAGAACTTGGTAAAAGACAACAAAACCACAAGGTACACTAATTAGCATAATCAAAAACATCGCCCTTCCAAGCAACCAAGAAATAGCATATTTCTGAATGAGATCATGATGGCGACCTTAAAACTTGTTTATAGTCCTTATCAACCAGCGTCTTTGGAACTTCTTTGTTTTAAGTTTGTCTGTCAGCAGTGGACATCCATCAGGAAACTCATGATATTTGGATCGACATGTAAACAATGCAGATAGGGGAAGCAGGGATGTAACTTTCAAGAAAGGGAAGGTTCACGATCGAGAAGTAAGCAAAGATCGAGACGAGCGGCTAAAGTAAATGGGTATTTAAAGACAGCACAAAGTCGAAATATCGTAAAAGTGAAAGTGAAGGACTTGGCTAAATTATGTCCCCAGTCCTGATTAACTCAACACTAAATTGTATAACAAGAGGCCCAATAGGCCTGAATCGCTCATCTGGTATCAATTTCACACTTGTTATCTTAAAATGGACTAAAATACAACTACAGGCAGAATATTGGTGTTTGATTGATAAGAACCTATTAAAATATTTAATCATATGACACCCGTGACCTTGAATGTCGAACAAGGATATTAGGTTGAACAGAATTTATAGTCTTCCAATCCAGCATGCTTCTAGCAAAATTACAGAGCAAATCATTTAAAGATTTAAACATATATTGACCACGGTGACCTTGAATATAGGCGAAGGTTATTCATTTGAACAAACTTGGTAACCCTTCATCCCAGCATGTTAATGGCCAAATTTAAGCACCCTAGGCCTCTCGGTTATTCAGAAGTTGTGTAAAGGTTTTAAACTTATTTGACCCCTGTGATCGTGAATATAAGTCAAGGTCATTGATTTGAACAAACTTGGTAGCCCTTCATTTCAGCATGTTACTGGCCAAATATCATCACCCTAGGCCTCTTGGTTATTCAGAAGAAGTTGTTTGAAGATTTTAACATATTTGACTCCTGTGACCTTGAACATTGATGAAGGTCATTTATTTGAACAAAGTTGGTAGCCCTTCATTCCAGCATGCTTCTGGCCAAATATCATCACCCTAGGCCTTTTGGTTACTGAGAAGAAGTTGTTTGAAGTAAAAAGTTGACGCCAGACAAACGGACGGACGACGGACGGATGACGGACGCGGCACCATGCCCTTCGGGCCAGGTGAGCTAAAAAAGCATATCGTCCATCAACAAATGCATATGAATATTTTATAACCGGTAAATTGGTGATGCATCTTTGCATTCATTGACCTTATATTCTGTGACCGACTTTTCATCGATGATGTTATTTTCATACGGACTCTAGTTTCGCCCCAGTCTTAGTCTGGATCAATATACATTTTTGAACCACTTAAAACTTAACTATAAGTGCACGCCAGACCAAATTCAATATAACTCAATGTTGTGGCAAATTTTTTAACAGAGCTCATCTACATCACTAATTCTTATTCACTTACTTTCAGTAAAACATAGAACCTTATTTTCAGACTGACATAGTTGATAACGTTTCTATCTGTTTAGTGCATGAAACCTAAAATTTATATTCGGTTTGAATTGTCCGTTAACATTTTCAGATTAACGTCGGTCATAACTGCCAGTTTTAGTAATTGAAAGCAAAAAAACGTTATGTTCAGTTTAAAGGGTACAAAGACATTTTCAGCTTGACGTAGGTCATTGCCAATTTTATTAAATGAAAGCTTAAAACGAGGATAAAGTGTATACGTCCGTACTAACGCTCCGTTACTTGCATCCTTTCGGAGAAATGCAAGTGGTCAATTTTAGTTTTATGTAGACAATAACATCCTTTTTTTACAATGATCCTAACTTCCAGATTTACAGAGATTAAAAATCTCACTAACAAATCACTGAAACTTTCAAAATGGCTGTACTCTATGGCAAAACTCATGTACATCTTGTTATATAGAAAGACAGTCACACAAACAAAAAGCATAATTATTTATTCTACTTTTCTGTCAATATCTTTTCATTGACAACATACACACAAAAACTTAGTAAATACCTCATAACACAAATTAACAATATGGATAAAACAACACAGTTGTTTTACTGTTATGGTACATCCTGCCATGATCCTGGTATGACTTATATTAATCTACTTTCAATACATAGATGACAAAGTGCACAGTTGAACAAAATGGACATGCATACTGCAGGCTGGTGACCCAATGTTACACACGGTATCATCTTCAAACTTTGTTGTTTTATTTATGCGATACCCAGCCCATACTCAAAACACTGGTATTTTCGGATTGTGTTTTTTGACTATCCCTAAGACATGTTGCAATATAAATATACCATATAAAATTAAATGATGTTCATGCTGAAGATATTTTCACTCTTTTACATTTCATAGACGTAGTCACAAACCGTTAGACAGTGCAATTTTATAACAAGTGAAAATTTAGCATCAGAATACACTACTTACGTTCTCAAGATGCATTGCACAAATTGACCTTACATTGTCAACAGGAAGGCCATGTTACATGATATGGTGAGGACATGATCAACACGTTGTCTGCCTCAGTACACGTACAGCTCCCCCTGAATGTTTACTGCAAATCTGACGATAGGGTTATGGACACTTTGGGAAGTGCGACAACCATTGAACACAAATTAACATTGAAACGTAATACTGTCTGATGCTAAATAAGAAGGCTGCAATGATATATCCTGCGACAATATATCGCCATATTTTGAATACGGTACGATACACAATTATTTTTGGGAGGTCACGATACACCTATTGTATCTTCCGGATTTTGTCGCTTCTGATTTTTGTTTACTCATATCTGCTCCCACATGGGGAGAGACAGCTCAAACTCGGCACGCACATTGAAAGAGGTGAATTGTGGGAATCTTTTAAGTCAATCCAATTTTGTAAATGTCTATTTCCTCTTGTAATATTGCCATTAAAACTTTGCAAAATATGTTTTTCGCTACTGTTACTATATGTATCGTGATATGAATCATATCGTGACCAAAGTATTCCCATACGTATCGTACCATAAGGTTTATTGATTGTTACTAAATAACACAATGATCAAAACAGTACAACACTATATGATAAGATTCTAAATTGGAGGCAGCTGTAATCTAATTGTCAGTACAGAAACATTTCCAAAGCATTGTCCTGGATCTCAAGTATTATCCCAGTCAGTGTTTTTAACCCAAGGAAATACTGTGGCCTGGGTCTTGCATATTTTTCAAAACAAGAGATCCCAGAGGGATCTTGGCGCCCACTTTTGTACCATCTTCGTTAGTTCTTTGTCAGTTCGATCTTTTCTCTTCTTTCCTCTAATCTGTTTGATCGAGTCATGTTAACAGTAAATGCACCTTGAGGTAACTTTTGATCTAAACTTAATACTGATGTGTATGAAGCCAACCTTCAAAGTGAGTTTGTCATTTCACATATTTACTAGTACAGTACTTAATGTGAAAGAAATAGAATCGATCATTGCAATATGAGAAAGATCTGTTTAGTTCTTCTTTTAATCCATTTTGTTTTTATGATCAGTCTCAAAATATAACATACACAACGAGGGATCAAGGGGAACCTACATTTAAAATTTGAGAAAGATCCCTCCCGTACTTCCCGAGAAATAGCGATAACAAACTTTCACTATCAAAATCCAAGATGGCTGCCTGTCGGCCATGTTGTTTATCCGATCAGTCTCTAAAATTGCCCTGCACAGCTAGGACCAAGGGGAACCTACATATAAAATTTAAGAAAGATCCCTCTAGTTCTTCCGGAGAAATAGCGGTAACAAACCTACAATATCAAAACCAAAGATGGCTGCCTGTCGGCCATGTTGTTTATCCGATCAGTCTCAAAAAAATGCCCTGCACAGCTAAGGACCAAGGGGAACCTACATATAAAATTTGAGAAAGATCCCTCTAGTACTTCTTGAGAAATAGCGATAACAAACTTTCACTATCAAAATCCAAGATGGCTGCCTGTCGGCCATGTTGTTTATCCGATCAGTCTCAAAAGTTGCCCTGCACAGCTAAGGACCAAGGGGAACCTACATATAAAATTTGAGAAAGATCCCTCTAGTACTTCTTGAGAAATAGCGATAACAAACTTTCACTATCAAAATCCAAGATGGCTGCCTGTCGGCCATGTTGTTTATCCGATCAGTCTCAAAAGTTGCCCTGCACAGCTAAGGACCAAGGGGAACCTACATATAAAATTTGAGAAAGATCCCTCTGGTACTTCTTGAGAAATAGCGATAACAAACTTTCACTATCAAAATCCAAGATGGCTGCCTGTCGGCCATGTTGTTTATCCGATCAGTCTCAAAAGTTGCCCTGCACAGCTAAGGACCAAGGGGAACCTACATATAAAATTTGAGAAAGATCCCTCTGGTACTTCTTGAGAAATAGCGATAACAAACTTTCACTATCAAAATCCAAGATGGCTGCCTGTCGGCCATGTTGTTTATCCGATCAGTCTCAAAAGTTGCCCTGCACAGCTAAGGACCAAGGGGAACCTACATATAAAATTTGAGAAAGATCCCTCTGGTACTTCTTGAGAAATAGCGATAACAAACTTTCACTATCAAAATCCAAGATGGCTGCCTGTCGGCCATGTTGTTTATCCGATCAGTCTCAAAAGTTGCCCTGCACAGCTAAGGACCAAGGGGAACCTACATATAAAATTTGAGAAAGATCCCTCTGGTACTTCTTGAGAAATAGCGATAACAAACTTTCACTATCAAAATCCAAGATGGCTGCCTGTCGGCCATGTTGTTTATCCGATCAGTCTCAAAAGTTGCCCTGCACAGCTAAGGACCAAGGGGAACCTACATATAAAATTTGAGAAAGATCCCTCTGGTACTTCTTGAGAAATAGCGATAACAAACTTTCACTATCAAAATCCAAGATGGCTGCCTGTCGGCCATGTTGTTTATCTGATCAGTCTTAAAAGTTGCCCTGCACAGCTTGAACCAAGGGGAATCTACATATAAAATTTGAGAAAGATCCCTCTAGTACTACTTCAGAAATACCGATAACAAACTTTCACTATCAAAATCCAAGATGGCTGCCTGTCGGCCATGTTGTTTATCCGATCAGTCTCAAAAGTTGCCCTGCACAGCTAAGGACCAAGGGGAACCTGCATATTAACTTTGAGAAAGATCCCTCTGGAACTTCTTGAGAAATACCGATAACAAGAATTGTTTACGGACGGACGACGGACGACGGACGACAGACAACGGACGACGGACCACGGACGCAGGGTGATTTGAATAGCCCACCATCAGATGATGGTGGGCTAATAAAAGATTTAAACTTTACAATGACTGAGGAAAAACTAAGCATGAAAATTTGATTTGTAAACATTCTATGAATTACATGACTTTAGCCCTTTCACCCCTGGGTAACTTTAGTAGACTCTACCACGCATTGATCTGGATGAGTCCATTATGGTCTACAGTGGTGAAAGGGTTAAGCAAAAACTTAAAGTAACCTCAATAAATATGTATTTATTGATCCCTGTCCCTATGCACTTCGTCTTTTTCAATACACAGTAATCCCCCCTTAATTTCCATATACAGAAAACTGTAGCACAGTTGGGCATAGACACTTCCATTGTCCAGGTAGCTCAATCAGTTAACGAGACAGTTTATATCAATCTGAAGTCCAGGGTTGGAATCCCACTCTAGCCCTGCTGGGGTTTTTTTTCACTCAAAACACTGTTATTAATTATATTTTGGTGGTTTTTTTTGTCTTTATTTATTTCTCATGAAAGTAACCTAATAAGGCATAGCTTTCTTTTTAGAAATGATTTATCAAAGCTACAGTCATGTCAAAAAACACAAGTCTCCAACATTTTACAGGTTCGCCAGTGGTACGGGCATCCTTAAAGATAAAAAAAACATGTTCTCACCATATCTTATGGTATAAAACCCAGCTTCGTTCTTACATATTCCACAATACTGTTAGCACAGTGGCATGTTTAAGAATATGTTTGCAAGCAAATGAGTTTCATATCATCATAAACAGTAAGAGTTGGCAATTCAATCCTTATATTATAATTCAAAACATCATAGAAAAAAAGAGTCTATGTGCTCTGTTTCTTTTGTTAATGATACTTTTTAAACAATTTGATCCACTGCTTGTGGCCACGTTATCTACGGTTAATATTTCAATTCGGTAAAAAATGTTGATTGGACACTATATGGAAATTCCTATCGAAGTTTGAATCACACATCACGACAAGATTGGTAAAATATTGCTCAAAAAGTGTGACGGTTTTACTGAAAAGTTTCCAATAGAAAACATTCACAACCTTTTGACATCATACATACTAGGCATCTAACCTTTTTGCGAAAGTGACACTGATTTTAATTTTGCATGTCACATGGTAGGTAGAAGTTGTGTCGTTCTGTCCACACGATATGGTTGACAATGTCCACCTTTAAAAATGACTAGTACAGCACAGCTCATAGACAAGCAAGCGTAACTCATTCACCCCTGAAGACACATTTGAACTCTTCCAGATCAAAGGTTGGAATAGTGCATTATGAAATTTCAGGGGTGAATGAGTTAACAGAATGATCCTTTGCAATACTAATGGCATGGCCTTTCCTTGGATCATCATCTTTGGTCCAGTTTGATTGGAAAGACGAAGACAAATGAAGAATAGCACACAAATGGAGAGATGATATTTCAATACTAAGAAATGACAAAAGCTAACTTTTACACAGTTTTTTCAAAATGTCTTCTCTGCTCTTTGTCTCAATGTCTGGAATCATCTCCAAGAACAAAGAATCTCCAGGTTCAGAGTCTCTCTGAGCGGAGTTTCTGAAGTCTCTAAAGCTTTTCCCAGTAAGAACTCCATTCAGTTCTTTAACTATCAACTGATGGACTTCTTTCTTAGACATGACCTTGTATGGAATCTGAAATCATATATATTCAAAGGTTATATTATTGCAAATAATTTTACATTGAATTAGTTTCTTTGTTACCTGGATCTTTACATAAACTTGTAACAAACAATTTTGACTGCTGCCCACAAAAAATTACAAGAAAATCATAGTAAGATGGTCAACAGATAAAAGTAATGCCCAGTCCATACCCTTGAATCTTAACTGGCAAAATGATTGGCTGACAGCCGCACTCAACAACTAGAGTTTGAAGAAATTATGATGCAGACAATGTCAGGCAAATTTTTGTTCTTCATTGATCAAGTAACACAACAGTTGTTTTATGTATTTACAGTCAAAAAACTATTTTCCCTCACTTTTGGGACAAACCAAATAAACTGTTTCCTGGGGCCGCATCTGGTTGGTCCCAACACTTTAGAGAAATAGTTTTGAATGTTGACAACTTGACAGTGAATGCTAGAAACCCCTGTAAAAGGCAGTACATTTCACATATTTATTCTATATTCTATATATATTCAAATTCCTGATTGACATCAATTGTAAAATCACACCTGTAAGAGACTGCACAATTACAGCAGCTCTGCCTCATGCAATATAATGAAGATCTTACATGACATTTAACCCCATTAACTCAAATAGACACACATGTATTACATGACATTTTACCCCATTAACTCAAATAGATACACATGTACTTACATAACATTTTATCCCATTAACTCAAGTAGATACACATGTATTTACATGACATTTTATCCAATTAACACAAGTAGATACACATGTACTTACATGATATTTTACCCCATTAACTCAAATAGATACACATGTACTTACATGACATGTTATCCCATTAACTCAAGTAGATACACATGTATTTATATGGCATTGTATCCCATTAACTCAATTAGATACACATGTATTACATGACATTTAACCCCATTAACTCAAATAGACACACATGTATTACATGACATTTAACCCCATTAACTCAATTAGATACACATGTACTTACATGGCATTGTATCCCATTAACTCAATTAGATGCACATGTACTTACATGGCATTGTATCCCATTAACTCAATTAGATACACATGTACTTACATGACATTTTACCCCATTAACTCAATTAGATACACATGTACTTACATGATATTTTATCCCATTAACTCAATTAGATACACATGTACTTACATGGCATTGTATCCCATTAACTCAATTAGATGCACATGTACTTACATGATATTGTACCCCATTAGCTCAAGTAGATACACACGTCATGTTCTTAAATGACACTGTGAAAATGACAAATGGACAAATGATGGCAGTATTATGCCATTTTACTGTACTTTTATAACAATATATCTCATAACCTCAAGTAAATATATACTGTCTGACAATGTACCCCATTGATTTAAGTAAATATACATATATAACACTACCCCATCAACTCAAGTTAACATACCCGAATGACTGTGTACTTCAGTTTCTTCAGTAACCGAAGCTGTAGCAGAAACCAGCCCAAACATTTCCCACCGTTGACAGATACTCGATTGGCACGGGCAACTACGATAGCAATCCTGTCAAAAAAAAGGGAACAAATATCTACATATGTCCTTTTAATGTTAAACAAGGAATTTTCCCTCATTTCTTTTCTAATTCAGTTTCTTGCACTTCAGACAAAAATATTTAACGTCATACCCTGTGCCAGATTTTTCTATCTCGTCCAATCTGTCTGGTACTTTTACCCAAAATTTTACGAAAATTTTACACAGCGATGCCATCATCCACATCTTAACGGCTTAAAATTGACAATCTGCATTATAAATATTCAGTTTTGTCATCATATGTATTGTTTTGATGGTGTTAAGATTCCTGATATTGTCGATCAAATATAATCTACACTGTGAATATGTGGTCTTCTTTGTAAGGATGGAGTACATTTTAACAAGGAAGCATTAAAATTTAGTTTTCAGTAGTGTAGAGCCCATGTTTATTTGAAACCCCAGATGGGATACTTAAAGTTTTTAGTGAAATTGCACAGTTTTTTTCAAACTAAAAAGAGAGAGAGTTGCGAAAAGGTACAGAGGCTGACGTTGGGATGTTACATAATTTTTAGCTTGAGACTGAGATAACCCAATCTCGCTCAGTTACAGGTACAGTAAAAATCTGTGTAATTTGTGCACCTATGTAACTTGTACAGGTACTTTTTTAGGCTGAAAAAAGCTTCTACCGCGGTACTCATATATTTTGCGCATCCATTTTCCCCTCAAAAACGATATCCAAAATGCCTGGAATATTTTGACCTCCGACACCAAACTTTTACACAAATATCTACTTTCTGATTTCATTCATTACTTAAATGTGTTAATTTCATAACTTTAGATCTTAATGCAGATGCATATCAGTGTTTTTTCACATCTTAAACAGACCTTCACAAGTAATGTGTAGTGTAGTAATAATATGAACATATCAAGTAGAAAATTATAATTAGACACCTATTAATAGAATATTACCCTAATTAGGGTAGGCAACAAGGAGCCACGGTAGTCTAGTGGTAGGACGCCAGGCTTGTGACCGAAGGGTTGCGGGTTTGAGTCACGGCCAGCACTGTGTTGTATCTTTGAGCAAGATACTGTACTCCGCTTGTTCCAGTCTACTCAGCTGTAAATGACTACGTGGTTGGGCAGTGCTAGAATTGTTGAATGCTAGCTGTTAGCTTGGATATCTCACTGTAACACAGCACAGTTCCTGTCACAATCAATGTGTGGGTCACTAACGTTGTGCTTTGTATCACAAACTTATAACTGCAAAATAGCCAGAAATTTGACCACTGACCACTTATATATGACTATTCTTTCCGTCAGAATTTAAAAACTCTCTCCAAAATGTTCTATCCATTTCAGTAGAATCTATATTGTAAGCACAGAATAGATCGACAGGACCAATACATTAACACAAGAAAAGAACTGTAAAGCTTACTATACTTTGAAAACTTTAGCTACCCGGCAAGTAGCAAGCAGATGAGCTGACTGGATGAGGTCAAAGGTCACTGCTGTGGTTTACCTGTATTTTCTTGCAAAAGCTTAATTGTCTCCCTCAGTTAGACATTGGACTAACCAAATCAGCCGGATTTTATCAAAGTTAATCTATTTGTAGGGTTGAACCATATTTTGTGAGTTGCAAAACGCTATCTCCCTCAGAATATTAGACTATCCCAATCAGTCAGATTTAGAGGTTGTCCTGTTTTTAGTTTAAATAGATTGTCTTAGGGTTGATGATGAAACTCAAACATGGTACGAGCCATCCTTTTAGTTGTGTAACATCCTATCAACAGCTAAGGTCATTTAAAGACTCGCATCCATGCATGTTGTGTATGCGTGTTTGCATGTGTGTGTACATGAGGCAGGGTGAGTTGGTGTATTTGCCTACTTGCGATAGTGTGGATCTAGTGCCGACTTTTTATAGTGCTATCCCACTGAATTACCATGTGGAAGGCACAGTATTCCACCCTGTCACATTCTACTGATCCCTGCTTGAATTGACATTCAGCATTTCCCTAAATGCTGAACGTTAAGCAGGGAATAACAACTACATTAGCACCATTTTAGCTGCTCACAAGTACTGTGAAACCTCTATATAATACTTGTGATGAGGATGGCCTTTGCAAGAACAGACATAGCAAAGATTAAGTCATTAAGCCCAGTAATGAGAATTGTAAAGACTCTACAGACATACCGTTTGGTTGTTGACTCAGTGTCAAGCTGTAGTTCTTCGTGAGACATAGGAGTGAAGGGTACAAAGCCTTTCTCCTTGTCGTAACGGAAGTCGACCACTGTAAAATATATACACAATTAACATTTACACTACACAGTGCATCACAAGAAACATTCTTAGGGGAACGTTCCTTCACAGCTGTATATCAACAAACCATTCAGCTGATACAAATTATTTGAAATCCAGTACATGTGAATTAGAGAAAATAGTTTAAGATGACTTCCTAAATGTATACACTATTACTTAAATACATTGTTAAACTTCAGCTGAGAAATCCACTTATGTAAATACATAATAAATATGTCATGATATAAGGATAATTCTACAGGAACTTCACAATCTTTGTCTAAAATAACAGAATAAATATTCTGGAAAAAATACTATTTAGTTATACATTTCCTCTAACAAATGATGATAAGAGCAAACTTATAGTCCTTTACTCTAGTCACAAGCTAAGTAAATACCATTACTCTAGCTACAGGCTCAGGTAGACCAGAAAACAGTCATTGAAGTGCACACCAAACACGGGGAAAATTTTTGTTTTCAAATAGACTCCATGCAGGACATTTCGACTATCTCCAATTCATCAAAATGTTTTTTAAAAGGGGACAGTCAGTTGTTTAACCGGTATTTTTTTGGACTACTACTGGCATATATATATATATACAATGTGTACATACCATCATCTAGACACAATAAACGGTCGTTGAAGTGGAAAACATTTTCCTCCTCTGGAAATATCTTCTTAATCGCACTGTGAGTGGCCCTGGTTTTAAATGGGATTGGAGGTAACCTGTTGTGTAGGTTGTATTCTGTCCTCAGGGTTTCCACCATAGCCTGTCAATCAATTTGTTATTGAATGTGTTTTTGAATGTTTTGTTTGATAAACAGGCTTACATATATATACAGGATCTGCATTAACCAGCAAATATTTTTATTTTCATACATGTACCAAAATATAAACATAAAACAAATAAATAAAATTTTATAGATGCAAATTAGTAGAAATAATTGTCAGATATTTTACTGAACACAAATACAGCCATTTTGGATTGATCGTAGCCAATCTCCGAAAGGTAAATCTTTGCAATGTCAGACCTCTTTGAAGTTCGGGATGCTACTACTGTTTGTGTATGTGACTAAAGTCATTTCCCCTCAGGTACTAGACTTGATCAACACAATCATTATAGATGGACCAAGTCATTATGTTTCCAGGGGTGAGATTATGTACACACTACTGCTGAATCAAAACTTTGTTGCCATTTCTTTGATCTTGCTAACAATCGGTTGTGCTTCGGCCACTCCTTCTTTGTCACATGCATTCTGGATTGATCGTAGCCAATCTCCGAACAATAAATCGTTGCAACCACTCCTTTGAAGTTTGGGATGCTACTATGTTTGTGTACATGACAAAAGCTGTTGCCCCTCAGGTATTGCTGTTGACTTGACCCAATGTGTATACATGTTGAGTAGTTTGGATCAAACGCATTATGTATTTCAGGGTCGATGCTTATTTTACTACTTTGATCATTGTCAGTCGATGTTAGTCATGCCGTCTCATCAGTTCATTATGACAGAGGGACAGAAAACATTATAATATAATGACATATGTATGGGTTTTTTAATTGATTTTAACAAAATATGTCCTTACCGGGGAAAGCTTGCTTCCTTTGTAATCTGGACATTCCAAATCCACACAAGCTTGAATCAACAGGAGGCGTTCTGTTTGTGTCATCAAAGGATCTAGACGACTATTAACTTAAACAATATATAGCAACTGTTATTAGAACTATGCAAACAAATTTCAAAGATGAAACCAGAAACAAGACTTACCCTTTCACCACTGTAGACTATAATGGACTCGTCCATATCAATACATGGTAGAGTCTACTAAAGTTACATAGAGGTGAAAGGGTTTATCTATTTATAACATGTAAGAACATCAATTCATAATTTTTTCATATGTCACAAGTGTTATATGACCTAGAAACAATTTGATTGGGTGAGTACAAGTGATCTTGGGATTCGATTGGGTGAGTACAAGTGATCTTGGGATTTGATTGGGTGAGTACAAGTGATCTTGGGATTTGATTGGCTGAATATTATTTAGTTCCATGCATATGAATATAGCACTATACTTAAATTATCTGCAAAAATTATAGTAGTCTCTAGGAATTATAAGAATGAAGCACCTACCTAAATATTTTCTTTCGAGATACAAACAGCTACTGCAATTTGATCAATTATATATTTCTTTATTATATTATTTTAATGATGTTTCCAAAAAATGCCACAGCCCAAAAAAGGAAAAATATGAAAACTGACAAAAACTCTGATACTTTGATTTTCATAAAATCAATTTAAAAAATAAAAGTATAACGATAATGAGGAAACTTGATCCTGCTGTACAATATGCGCGAAATATGCGAGCCGCGCCCGGGTCACACTTCAAACTGATATTTTAGAAACAAATCGTCACTTTCACACACATGTCGCACATGGATCGAAAGATCTATTCTTTATGCACTAGGTGGGGTATCAATAACATGTTTCAAAGATCATTTTGAACAGTATTTTCTAACATTTTCTATACCAACCCATGTTTTTAATGGAAATTAGGGCATGAAAATATATGTTTTAAGTGATTGTATTGGTTGTTTGAGGCATGTTATGTATGTTCATCTTGTGCATAAAGAATAGATCTTTCGATCCATGTGCGACATGTGTGTGAAAGTAACGATTTGTTTCTAAAATATCAGTTTGAAGTGCGACCCGGGCGCGGCTCGCAATATTTCCCGCATATTATAGAGAGCCAGGTTCCTCACATTAATTAAAATAAAGTCGATAAAACGTCAGAATAATTCGGACTAGCTGTACCCTTACCCAGGCAGTTCTCGGCTATTTCATCACGGAGAACACTGTCAATCAAATCGTAATGAAATATGCCAGCTACAGTATACGCTGCTAACATGATCATCCTGCTCATGTCAATATTCTTCAGTTCATGGTTCTCATGTTCTCCAGGACCATTTGAAGTGACAATATAGGAGTTGATTTTGTCTTCACTCGAGTGTTGATCATACATCTGTTGTAGATTCTCAAAGCACAGGCGCACATTCTTTCCTTTCATACCACTAGATGCCAAAGCCCAGCAAATGTTAGCCAAATCTTTCCTTCGTACTCTCAAATTTCTGTCATCTCTAAGTCTCTTTCCCATTTGTTCTCTGTTGATATACCAGACTACTTTATCTAATAGAGGTCTATGGTAAAACCTGGCACGTTTTAAAAGTTTTATGTAACAGCATATTTCAGACATCTCAATAGTATCTGCCTCTTCCATTATTCTCTTGGTATATTCGAAAGCCAACAACAAAAACTCTTCATCCTGAAACACTTTCTCAAACTCCTTCAAGGGAAGACAAGCCATATATGATATAAAAGCACTCTGAAGAAACCGGGCCTCTTTAGGGTAACACAGGCCAAAGTTAAAACTGTTAAATGAGTCCCATATTTTCTGGAGAAGAATCACACTGAAATTTTTCCTGCATCTAATGCATGCCTTCAACAGCATGATATTCTGTTTGGCATTGTATATCTGGCTGTCTGAAAGCATATGTATTTCAATGTCCTTAAATAAACTCATTTCCATATTGCCAACAACAAAAGCACAATACATTATTTGAGCTATGGAGTCTGGACTCCAGGAATGTGTGTGGAATGTTTCAGTAGCATCCGCGAGAATATGTTTTAGGAGGTCATGGCATATATATTGTTGTACAACTAGATATCGCACCCTACTAAACACATCTCTATAAGTTAAGGAACCAAAATCCTTGATGGTGTTTTTCTCGTAAAGTTTCAAGTTTTGAAAGTTGAAATCCGAATTCTGGTATACTGGAAGAATCCCATTTGCCCAATATGCAATGTCGGGTGAAACTTTTCCAAACGAAAGTGAGCCATTTTGTTCAGCACTGGTTCTACGTTTACATTGATGTAGTGTTCTAAGCTGAAAGTGTAGTAATTGATCATAAGTTGCTTTTCGGTTATAATTGAACATCACGACGTGGATCAAGGGTGGGCGACGCTCGAGGCAGCCAAGTACAAGCTTAGGACTCAAGATGCTCATGCTCCTAGCAGTGGCTCCAAGTATCCATCGTATCATCATATTCCTTCATCAGTAAGGTTTTTTTCAATATCCTGGAAAGAAAGAATTTAGCAAGGTATCAAACTGGTAATGATATACTATCAAAACAATAAGGGCAGTTGCAATTCATTTACAGTGTGTTCTACTATTATACTGAGTACTTAGTTACCAGTTAGCCTCGTTTTAGGTTTCATAGAGCAGTTGATGTCACACCTGAGCATTTATATGATAAAAATCAAAGTTATTTATATAATTACTTATAATTACAAGCTATATATTCTGGGCAACATTACTTAAGCTTATACTTTTTTGTTTTAAGTCAAAATAATTTACAAATTAGGACAAAATAATCTGAGAATATATGTCAACATCTTAACAGATTAATGGCGACATTTGTTAGAGATTATATCAACATACGTAACTCACAGATTGTTAGTCACTGGTATAAATAGAATCTTGAAAATCATTAACTGTATCTGAATTCAGATCTTTAATTTGTGTCTTTAGATATACAATGTCTAATACGTACATCATGACCAAGACGGTGAAATTTAGGCTGAGCACATGTATGTACACTCAGTGATTTCTGTAGATTTTTTTAATCGAGTCATGAACATCTTTTGCACTTTTTCATAGATTCACATTCCTTATGTAACTTGGTAATAATGAGTTCTCAAAAGGTTTTTGAGACCCATGTGCACAGGATTATCTAAGTCTCAAAAATCAACTGCACAGCATTTTATAGGGAGGGATTTTGTAATATAACATTCTTATATCTGTAATACATATACAGTTTGTATGTATATTATATAAACTGTTGCTGTGTTGTGTAAGTCTGTAACTGTCAGCTCACATGGGCTTGTAAAGACTTTTATGATAAAATTAGCTAGAAATACCTATATACATAAAGACTAATTTTATCATCAAAGTCTATATCATATATACAAGCCCCTGTCCCCTGTGGTCAGCTGGTGTCCATGCAGAGCTGGCCTATCGGTAAAGAACCCATGGTTGACGTTATGTAACATGATATTAATGTTTCGATTTTCCTGATGCCCGATCGCCAAGGACAATCAATCCAAACCGCGTATAGACCACTACTTACCGTAGGCATACAACAACACTTGAAACGGGCCGCTGGAAACATCATAACATGTGCCATTGAGGTAACCGGAAGTAGATTAAAGTCAACAGCATTTCGGTCCGACTACTTACCGGAAAGAAAACGAAACGATCGGACATGATCCCAGTGGAATCTGGATTGTGTTATCCATAAAACTAATGTGTATTATTTAGTTAATTTTCAAATTGTAAAAGACAGTCGGTAAACTTTGTATCTTAAAAAATTGAAATCCTGATCAAACTCGAGTTACATAGAAATAGAAATAGTATCTATGATGAAATAGACCCTACCTTTGATGTGACATGTATTTTCACCTGTGGTTTCAAGTGCACATGGTCATTAGGAGTGATAAATTATACCAATTAAAAAGATATATTTCAAAAATTTCAAAGACAATGAAGCATCCTCCTTATCATCACTTCATCAGGTGACTTATAACCAATGTTAGCATAAAAGCTTGGCGTGTACATCCTTTTCATTAGAAATGTTTTTAAAATAAATACTTAATTATTTGTAAGACCGGTGTTGCCCTTGTTGAATATAAGACAAATAGTTCAATCATAATTCATATTTATGACAAAATAAATTAATATTAAATTGCCAAAATGTTCTAGATTTTTGTTGACAGAAATTAGTATACATTCAGAACAGCCATTAACATTTTAATATATTAGTACCGGATAAGTGCAAAAATCTGTCTTTTTCTAAGTTTAATATTTTGTGCAACCCCCTCTGATACCATATAAAATATCCTATAACATATTTATAGCCTATATAAAACATCCATAGATACGTCAATAGTAGTCGTGGACTAATGGTATGACGTCGACAACAGTGAGAGTTATTCATAGCCTATATAGTATATGTATAGCACCTATGTCACCCTGGTAAAATATTAGCCGCTTCCTACCGACACAGCTAGGGAGATTCTCGTCTTCTAGCGGAGGCATTGACAAAATAATGACCTCTGTTAAACATATAACATACCCGGGCCTGCTAAACATCTCACAACCTTACATATAAAAACAAAATCAAAAACAACAATACGCACTGAACATCTCATATCCTCACACGTGACAACAAAAACAACACGACAAACACCTCATATCCCCACACCTGACAACAAAAACTACACAACAATACACGACATACATCTCATATCCCTACATGTGACAACAATAACAACCCGACAAACATCGTATATCCCCACACGATACAACAAAACCAACACGACAATACACGACAAACATCTCATATCCCCATACGCGACAACAAACACAATGCAACAATACGCGACAAACATCTCATATCCCCACATGTGACAACAAAAACAACACGATAAACATCGTATATCCCCCCACGATACAACAAAACCAACACGACAATACACGACAAACATCTCATTTCCCCATACGTGAAAACAAACACAATACAACAATACGCGACAAACATCTCATATCCCCACACCTGACAACAAAAACAACACAACAATACACGACAAACATCTCATATCCCCACATGACACAACAAACACAACACGACAATATACGCTTAACATCTCATATCCTCACACGTGACAACAAAAACAACACGACAAACACCTCATATCCCTACACCTGACAACAAAAACTACACAACAATACACACTAAACATCTCATATCCCTACACGTGACAACAAAACCAACAAAACAATACACACTAAACATCTCATATCCCAACACGTGACAACAAAACAAACACAACAATACACACTAAACATCTCATATCCCCACACGTGACAACAAAACAAACACAACAATACACACTAAACATCACATATCCCAACACGTGACAACAAAAACAACACGATAATACACGACAAACATCTCATATCCCTACACATGACAACAAAAACAACACAGCAATATACGCTTAACATCTCATATCCCCACACATGAAAACAAAAGCAACACAACAATACCCACCAAACATCTCATATCCCCACATGACACAACAAATACAACACGACAATATACGCTAAACATCTCATATTCCCACTGGTGACAACAAACACAACACGACAATATACGCTAAACATCTCATATTCCCACTGGTGACAACAAACACAACACGACAATATACGCTTAACATCTCATATCCTCACACGTGACAACAAAAACAACACGACAAACACCTCATATCCCTACACCTGACAACAAAAACTACACAACAATACACCCTAAACATCTCATATCCCAACACGTGACAACAAAAACAACACGATAATACACGACAAACATCTCATATCCCTACACGTGTCATCAAAAACATAACAAAAATACAAACCAAACGTCTCATATCCCTACACGTGACAACAAAACAAACACAACAATACACACTAAACATCTCATATCCCAACACGTGACAACAAAAACACCACGACAATACACGACAAACATCTCATATCCCTACACATGACAACAAAAACAACACAACAATATACGCTTAACATCTCATATCCCCACACATGACAACAAAAACAAAACGACAATACACGACAAACATCTCATATTCCTACACGTGACAACAAGAACACAGCAATATACGACAAACATCTCGTATCCCTACATGTAACAACAACATCAAAAACAACAATACATAACAAACATCTCATACCCCACACATGACAACAAAAACAACACAACAATATACGCTTAACATCTCATATCCCCACACATGAAAACAAAAGCAACACAACAATACCCACCAAACATCTCATATCCCCACATGACACAACAAATACAACACGACAATATACGCTAAACATCTCATATTTCCACAGGTAGCAACAAACACAACACGACAACATACGCTAAACATCTCATATTCCCACATGTGACAACAAACACAATACAACAATACACGCTAAACATCTCATATCCCCAAAAACTACACAACAATACACGACAAACATCTCATATCCCTACACGTGACAACAAAAACAACACAACAATATACGACAAACATCTCGTATCCCTACATGTAACAACAACATCAAAAACCAAACACAACACGACAACATACGCTAAACATCTACAACAATATACGCTTAACATCTCATATCCCCACAACAAATACAACACGACAATATACGCTAAACATCTCATATTTCCACAGGTAGCAACAAAAACAACACGACAACATACGCTAAACATCTCATATTCCCACATGTGACAACAAACACAATACAACAAAACACGCTAAACAACTCATATCCCCACAGGTGACAACAAACACAACACGACAATACACGCTAAACAGCTCATATCCCCACACGTGACAACAAACACAATACAACAATACACGCTAAACATCTCATATCCCCATACGTGACAACAATACACGCTTAACATGTCATATTCCCCGTGTGACAACAAAACCAACACAACAATGAACGCTAAACATCTCATATCCCTACACGTGACAACAAAAACAACACAACAATACACGCTAAATATCTCATATCCCCACACGTGACAACAAAACCAACACATTAATACACGCTAAACATCTCATATCCCCACACGTGACAACAAAAACAACACGACAAACACCTCATATCCCCATCCCTGACAACAAAAACTACACAACAATACACGACAAACATCTCATATCCCTACACGTGACAACAAAAACTACACAACAATACACGACATACATCTCATATCCCTACATGTGACAACAATAACAACACGACAAACATCGTATATCCCCACACGATACACCAAAACCAACACGACAATACACGACAAACATCTCATATCCACATACGCGACAACAAACACAATACAACAATACGCGACAAACATCTCATATCCCCACATGTGACATCAAAAACCACACGATAAACATCGTATATCCCCACACGATACAACAAACACAACACAACAATATACGCTAAATATCTCATATCCCCACATGTGACAACAAAACCAACACGACAACACACGACAAACATCTCATATCCCCCTCCTTGACAACAAACACAATACAACAATACGCGACAAACATCTCATATCCCCACACCTGACAATAAAAACAACACAACAATACACGCTAAACATCTCATATCCCCATACCTGACAACAAAAACAACACGACAATACACGACAAACATCTCATATTCCCACACGTGACAACAAAACCAATACAACAATACACACTAAACATCTCATATCCCCACACGTGACGACAAAACCAACACAATAATACACACTAAACATCTCATATCCCTACATGTGAAAACAAAAACAACACAACAATATACGCTAAACATCTCATATCCTCACATGTGACAACAAACACAATACAACAATATACGCTAAACATATCATATCCCCATACGTGACAACAATACACGCTTAACATGTCATATTCCCCGTGTGACAACAAATCCAACACAACAATACACACTAAACATCTCATATCCCCACACGTGACAACAAAAACAACACAACAATACACGCTAAACATCTCATATCCCCACTAGTGACAACAAAACCAATACAACAATACACACTAAACATCTCATATCCCGACACATGACAAAAAAAACAACACGACAATACATGACAAACATCTCATATCCCTACACATGACAACAAAAACAACACATCAATACACGCTAAACATCACATACCCCCACTAGTGACAACAAAACCAATACCACAATACACACTAAACATATCATATCCCCATCCTTGACAACAATACACTCTTAACATGTCATATTCCCCGTGTTACAACAAATCCAACACAACAATACACACTAACCATCTCATATCCCAACACGTGACAACAAAACCAATACCACAATACACACTAAACATATCATATCCCCACAAGTGACAACAAAACCAATACCACAATACACACTAAACATATCATATCCCCATACGTGACACAACAACATCAAAAACAACAATACATGACAAACATCTCATACCCCCACAAGACACAACAAACACAACACGACAATATACGCTAAACATCTCATATTCCAACATGTGACAAC